CTTCGACAACTGCAACACCCCGATCGTGGAGGAACTTCCCCCAATGGACTTGTGGATCCCGTTGGGGCTGGTGCATGGGAGTAGAGATGGATGCTTGGCGTACTACATTGACCACTATATGAGTGCAGTACGTCAGTACAGCAGGTTCAAGGGACATGAGAGCATGGTATGTTGGTTTCGTTCTTTTTTCTTATAGTCTTGATTTCATTTTTGGATCATTTAGTATGTCAATGACATGTACATTCAGGCAGTTTTGTAATTTTATTTATTTTTAGGGGTTCGAGCGTGGTCCTGACGGTGTTAGGGTGAAGTTGTGCAAGCCCTACGGGCTACGACGCCGTGGCCGGCATAGTCGGCCGAATTCAGTTTCAACAATGTTTACGGCCGACTATATCGGGAAGCGGCCATATGTTCCATGCACAGCGCTTGTATGGAGCAATTATACGGCGTGTTACGTTGCACTTTGCCGGGGTCACCACTGGATTTGCAACTAGAGCCGAGTTTTGCGGACAAAAGGATGCTGCACTGTATACCACGCTCAATAAAGCTCGAGACCAAGCTGTTGATCACATTTGGAAACGCAATATAAGACGATTTGAAGACCTACGATCTGCAAACGACATAACAATCACTAACAGCACCCCTTCTACAAGGGTAAAACGGGGAGTGCCCGTAGCAGTTGCTGCTATTCCTGTTGCTGGATTGCTCGCGAGCATGGCCTTCAATTTCTTCAACCGACATGAGATTAAACGTCTTAAATCTCATATTGCCCACCTTGATCATCAATTCTCTGAGTTCACCCAACAAGTTCATGATGAAGTCGAACAACAACGTCAATTCAACAAAGATGTTCTCTACTTAATCAAAGATTACACCCAATGCTGTGTTTCCTCACTTTGAGCCAGCTATAGTTCCTGTAAAAAGCAACGAAACTTGTCTTCGAGTTAAACTTCCTAAACGGATCTACCTTAAAGCTGATCAGTTTTACTCCGCGGAACAGTCTGAGTCAGAGTGTGAAACTCGACCATCAGGACTGCTAGTCTGTCTCGATAACTCCAAAAAGACAAAGACGCATCTGAGATTACTTGTCTTACTCTTAACAAAGCTTCTCAATGCGATACGGAAGAAGTGCACTGTAAACCTTATGTTGCACAAGTTTCAGCAGGAGCCCTGACTTTCCGAGACGGAAATCCAGTTTATGGGATTAACATAGGAAGCTCCCAAAAGATCAATCGGATAGACACTCCCGAAACCGAAACAAAACTTTACTCACGGAAGGAATATTCTCAAGTACAATTAAAGAGTAGAGTTTTGTACTCTATCCGACCAGAAGACATAACCAACACAGTTCATTGGAAACCTTCACTGGACGTTAACAAATGGGTTCAAGAACTCGCAACAAGTGCAAGAAAACATCAGAAGTCAAACTTTATACGGATTCATCAGCTTATCGAAAAACAGGACGAAACAATTCAACTATTGAAGTACAAACCGAGCAAACTGTTAACAGATTCTGTCTATAGCATCATTATATAGATCGCAGCATTCCTTTCTATTGCACTGTGGTGTTTCACAATAATTGCCTTATGCGTGTTAAACTCAAATAAAAGACATACCAAACATGGAAAGACATTAATGCAACTAAAAAAGGAAATCCTAAAGCTTAGACGATCTGACAAACCTACACCAGACACAGATGAGATGTCATTTCGTCACCTTGAACAACAAGACGAATTACCATTACCTTTTACTACTAGAGGTTCTGGAATAAGATACAGAGGAACAAGTCGACCTGCTCCACCTCCACGACAAGATATAGTCGAAAAAAGTGACGAAGAACCAGAAGAGACATCATTCATCAAAACACCCCCGCAAATTCAACATCAACATCATTCCAACCAAACATTTCATCAACACCAAAACGTTCAACACGATCGGTTAAAGCCCAAGCAAATATTGGGTAATTCATTCACACAAACACTTCAAAACATGAGCATGATATGATATTGGCAGTATAAATTGGCAGCTGGCAAAAATGATTTTAATGTCGACGTTTCACAACGTCCCCCAAATGACTTCAATGTCGACGTTTTTAACGTCCCCATAATGGCTACAATGCCCACCAGAGACTCAAAAGATGGACACCTTTCTCAATTGGACATCGAATCACAAGAAATGTTTAATCCTTATCTACCTAACTGTTCAAAACCTGATACCGAAATGAGCTGACCCTTGCAGCCAAAACTCCACAGAGTATAATCCTAACATCAAAATTCATTTTCCAGCAATTATCTCAGAAGTACCTTGTCAAAAAGCCATTAATGTGCGTCATATCAGCCTACCTCGAACATCATGATAAAAGATTTTTCAAAAGACTGTTACAAAACAGCATAATATGCAAAAAAGCTCCAAAAAGGAAAAAATTTCATTTGCTCAAAGAACTAACAATCATCCTGGAAATTTATATTGAACTATCTTGCCTATATAATACTAATAGTTACGAACATTTGCCCAGTGAACTTATGACATACATTGATTAAAAATTTATTTTCAATAGGAACAAAGCACTAAAATGGTTTAACCAAGATTAACCACAAATTTGAATCACCAACCAACGCTTTGTATTAAACCTTCAAGGTGTCGTTCAGAATTGAAACAAATACGTAAAATATTGGAAAATATATATTCAATTGATTTATGTGTGAATTTATAAATGGTCACATACAATTGTAACGAGAAACAAATTTTGTTAAAATTAATTACAATGCGCAAATAATTTTCAATTATCGATGTTTCTAGTTACTATTCATATTTATTTTTGTGTTTTAAGAGGAAAAGATAAAAATCCAAAAAAGAATTATTATTTTCAGAATTAATTTTTCGTGTGATTTAACTATTCGTCTATTTAATGGACAAATAAAAAGGGTAATCGACTTCATTCAAGATATCTACTCATTACATTAAATTATTTCTTTTTAAAGATGGTAAGTTGATTTATTACGATATTTACTTAAAAAACGATGGTAGGTTCCTAACAAAATTTCTGTAAACATTTTTTTCTTCTTATTAAGGGGGGAAGGTTGTGGGATCACCCTTTGCACACTCTAAGCCATATAACTTTGCTATCCCTTGTTGGCAGGTTGCCAGCTGTCTGCCTGTGCTTGGCACATCTCCAAAGCTTAATGGGTTAACTCATACTTAAGAGGTCGCAGACAGCACCTGTGTCAGGAAAAATGCCAGCCAACCGGAGTGGCCCGCTTAAGTGATTAACAAACTGCACCGACGTTATGTGAATGTGACGCCACAGGTAAAAAACTTTTGGCTTCACAACGTTAAGGTGATTTATAGGGAAGAGCTATTAATGGAGTAATGGATAAGCGAGGGACCTCATTGGTCTGGCCCGTTTGTCCAGCGCACGCTCATTGGTCACTATTTCGAGTAGCGGAAACGATGACTAAGATAATCGTTTCCGTGAGTGTAAACCCTACGTCAATGATCCTCACCAATGAGAATCTGGGAACTCACCTCATGGGTCACACGTACTAGTCCCATGATTGTCATGGGATACAACCTATAAAAACCCTAGGCACACCCATAATTCCCCACTTCTTGAACGCCCACTCAACTTTAACAAAGACTTAAACGTAATCTACCATCGTCCTTGGTTGCTTGTTAATTTGTTTATTACCCACATCCAATTGTATTTTATTGTCTACACTACAAGTACAAAGCCTAACTTACACAACGCAAACTTCGCCGTGAGACAGAGATCTGCTCTGTGAAGTACGGTCCACCCCTCTCTCTCTTCTAGTTCTACTCAATCACGAAGGGACCCCCCTTTTCTTTCTAACCCACACTTGTTCCAGCAACTCTCTCGAAAATACCTCGTTAAGAAACACTGATACATAGCTACAACCAACCCAATTTCAAGTCGTATTATTTGGTCAGCTCACTCTAACTAAAACACACCGCAACTTCCATCGTGGGAACAGACAGTTAGTCTGAACCTAATCAACCTATCTTAAACCTAGACGATCAACCATCTCTGCTTCCAGAGTTTTAGACGGGACAATGTATTTGAACTATACTCACCTTGCCTATGAACTTATGGAGTTTATCGACTATAATATACATTTTTATTTATACATACAATATAAATACATTTTTCGCAAAAACAATGTATTGAAATGGATTAAACATGACTAAAAAGACAAAATTGTAATATCCAATCAACATTTTCGTTTCTGATGTTTACTTGTTTAATTGTTTCACTACTCGCAGTCTCGCACTCAATTACAAAGCCTAACCTACACAAATAAAAAATCGCTAAAAAAGGAAAATCACTAAACTAACAGTAACAGCTCGTTGTTTTACTTGAACAATAACAAGGCCATTTTGACTGATTGACTAAAATTAATAAGATAAATCAGATATTAATCTGGTAAAATCCTGCATTCTTAGCTTTATAGTTATACCAGAACCTTCGAAATCCTAAGAATAAGTCCTAATCTTCGCTTCACGTCCCCTACTCATCTCCTTCATCGTCCCATCAACTTATGTAGTCTTTAAGTCTAACCTATCTCCTTGAACTTGCTTTTATGCACACATCCAGAATTTTTATTAGCATTTAAATTATTATATTTGATTTTATTTCCACTTCGTGATATTGTAACGCGGTTAAATTTTAAGATTTTATTTTCATACTTTTATTCGGCTTTTGTTTTATATCTGAACTTATTTATGAATTGATGTATAGCCAAGTGTATAGTTCGTTAGTGTTCTCCTTAGTAATTTCAAGTTTAATTCCAGTTTCTGTTTAATTCCAGTTTAATTCCAGTTATACCAGTATTATCCTGATCGATGAATTTAGTTATTATTGGTACTTTGAAGAACTGTTTGTTATATCGGTGTTAAGAAATGTGTCCATTACCTGTGTATGTATGTTCTGAACAGAAAAGACGCTAATTAAGCGTAAATAGATAAATCAAACTCGAAAAATTAAAACACATTTTTTGTAATTATGACTATGATTCATAAAAAATGAATTAAGTAATTGTATTTAACGTCATATTCGATAGTCAAGATATTCAATTAATGCAGCTAACACACTATCAGAGATTCAAATAAATTCTAAAGTTCTTCCTTGATATTGATTAGGGCTGAGCTTAAATTCAGTAGTGTCTAAAAGTTAAAGTTCTAGTGTTTAACTTTTAAGTTTAAGTGTATTAACTCTTCCACCAGATTATCAGAGTGAACAGATTACCAGGTTACTAGGTTACCATATTACCAGAGTTACCAGGTTATCAGGTTACCAGGTTACCAGGTTACCAGGTTACCAGGTTACCAGGTTACCAGGTTACCAGGTTACCAGGTTACCAGGTTACCAGGTTACCAGAGTTAACAGGTATTTAATATTCACCCGATTCTGTTGTAAACAAAATATCCGTCCATTAATTCTAGTAAATACTCCCTCTTCGTCAGGATATGATTATTTACTCTCCATAAATCTCCACGCTATCTAGGCTAAGTAAGTCTCCAATGATGCGAACTGAAGAATGTTTCCCTTCCATACCTCCGAAAATGTAAGTGAACTTTTCGTCCTCGGCCTCAACTTGTCCGACCTCGGTGTCACCAACAAACACGCTGGTTCCTTCAACATCAAATTTAGCGTCCTCGTTGTAGTTCAGAACTATTGAGTTAATATGACGAGGCATGTCCCAGGTAAACTCTTGCTGAGATTCTCTGAAATTATTCTCGGTTATAACCAAATTGGATTTTTGAGCTGCATAACTTTTACCAATTCCTTTGCAAGTCATTATTTGAATCAGTGATAAATAATAAACGGTTATCGCGTGAAACGGAATGTTAGTTAGTTTTAGCAGAAAACGTGGATCAAACATCAGACAATCAAATCCCAGAATCAATGCCTTGTATAAAAATTAATTTGCGATATTTACCACGATATCAACCAGTTAGTTTCCAGTTAAAACTATAATCGAAATGAAATGTTTGTTATCTTACCCTGATCCAGATACCTCAGCTTCCTCAGCAATGTTATTAAACTCAAACTCTCGTCCGAATACCTATACAAATTTTGCATTGAGTGTTTCAATGGAAAACAACAATGTTCTTCAACAATGTGATCATTAAAATAACAGCTCATTTTGTTGAGTTAGCAGTAACTTATTTTAACAATTTACTTATATAACGCAGTTATGAAATATTACAATGATATGAAATATTAATATAACTAAAATATTAATATAACTTATTACTATTATTATATAAATCAACTAATTACAAACCTGAACTTCGGCCAAGGAGAGTTTGCCCTTGGACCCCTTGATCAAGATTTCTTTTGCGAAGCTGTTTACTTCATAACTTTTTTTATCTTCTGGCATTCTAGAAGCGTAGAGTTTACCCATACCCACGTTATCGATACTAAACTTGGCGCCGTCTATTCTTTTCTGTGTAAGGAAAAGTAGACCTCATTATAGGCAACAGGTCTTTAAATATGAATATATGTAAATTATAATATTATAACTCAACTTAAAATTTCTATTTAGTTTTTGATCTTTTTTTCAATATCTCCGATGGAAATAGATTGAGAATGTTTTTGAGCAATGTTTACCTGACAACAGTCAGATCGACCCCAAATAACCACATTATCAATATAACGAGGAGTATCAAACTCCAGTTTCCAGAACGTATCCTCTCCCGGTGTTCGAGTGTGAGTAACTGAGCCCCTGTAATATTAGTAAAATTAGTTAAAGTATAATTAGTTAAAGTATAATTAGTTAAAGTATAATTAGTTAAAGTACTAGTTAAAGTATAATTAGTTAAAGTACTAGTTAAAGTATAATTCGATTTATAAACCAGCATACTGCACTAGTCTACCTTCTATCGATATAGAATTTAAACTAAATATATTTTTTGCAGCGTATCAAGGATAAAGAGCGGCGTTTAATGTAAGTAATTTAATAAAGTTAAGAAATGGAGTAAGTCAACTTTGGAAATAACGACTGTTTTATTATAATATCGTTATTTCACCATTGTAACACTAACTATAACGATAAAATACTTACTGTTCGAAATCTCCATTAGTGTTTCCATCTATAGCCAACTCAGCAACTCCTTTGTAGGCTGAGTTAGACTGTGAAGCAGTACCAGAGGATGCAATGTTAAGGAGATCTGTTGACTCAGCGTATACCTGGTAATGTTGTTTATTTAATTTATTACTTAAAATAGCTGTACAGGGAACAAAAAATATCAACGGCATCAGCTCAGAAATGAATAATGATTATAATTTAACGGGTTAGGTTCCCACACATCTCAGAAAGGTATATTTAAAAATACTAAGATAACTGCTATAATTGCAGTGGTAATTAAATAATTAAATGTTATAATTATTTCCGGAATATTATTGGATTATAATTACAGCGGTAAGCTGTCTGCAAGCAGGACAATCTTGAGTCTCCTCAGCCTCTCCCTCACATTCAGCCCCACCGTTCTCTGGAACAGGACTGTCACATTCTCTGGTCCTGGACTGAGTTCCTCCGCATTCATCCGCGCACTCCGACCAATCTCCGAACTCACCGTACATCCCGTCAACAGCTGAAACTAAGGGGCAAGTTATTCCCTGACACATCTGTTCTAACATCGTGAAGATTCGTTGGATTGCAATTTTATTTAAGCGAAGAATCATTTAATTGGCACTAAGGTCAAGTTAATTCTTGACCTTAATGCCACAGTTTCTGTGGTAAAAACAAATTTATGGTTAAACGTTATATATCGTAGAAGGGCATGATCACTAAGCATCTGGATGGATAATTAGCACACAAGGATAAACTGACCTTTAAACATGACCACGAGCTATACCATGTAACCATAGCTCCGAAATAAATAAATTGCTCTACATAGAAACATCTGGCCTGATCTTATCACATTGTGGTCCCCAGGGGTTCGGTAAAGCCCTTACTATACAGGCAACTGGGTCCTTTTACCAGCCACTGGGTCCTTTTACCAGCCACAATAAAATTGAATACAGCAATGATTTAAATCAAAACAACAAGTTAATGTTTAATACCTGCACATGCTTGAGTGTTGCACTCTTGACTTTCAGAAGCCTCTCCTTCACAGTCTTCACCACCATGCTGAGGAGCAGGGTTATTACATTCCCTATTCCTGGATTGCATTCCTCCGTCACATTCAGCAGAGCATTCAGACCAGTCTCCGAAATCACTGTATCCTCCGTGAACTATAGGGAAGAAATTTTTAACTTTTTAAGGAGCAAGCTCATCTTTAAAAGAATCATCCTTTTTTGAAATAAATTGAATCCGATATTGAACTGCATAAAAATTCTTCTTTTCTGCAGATGCATTTTTACAAGAAACTACTTGAAAAAACTGTTTCCACATGCATACAAATAAATGTCAAATAGAACATCATTCAGGATGTAGAAGAATATAACAATATAAACCTGGGCAAGAGTCTGTGTTACACTCTCTAGATTCAGATTCCTCTCCTTCACAGTCTTCACCACCATGCTGAGGAGCAGGGTTATTACATTCCCTAGTTCTGGATTCCATTCCTCCATCACATTCAGCAGAGCATTCAGACCAGTCTCCGAAATCACTGTACCCTCCGTGAACTATAGGGAAGATATTTTAACTTTTTAAGGAGTAAGCTCATCTTTAAAAGAATCATTCTTTTTTGAATAAATTGAATCCGATTTTGAACTGCATAAAAATTTTTCTTTTCTGCAGATGCATTTTTACAAGAAACTACTTGCAAAAAAAAACTGTTTCCACATGCAAACAAATAAATTTCAAATAGAACATCATTCAGGATGTAGAAGAATATAACACTAACCTGGGCAAGGGTCAGTGTTACACTGTCTAGATTCAGAAGCCTCTCCTTCACAGTCTTCACCACCATGCTGAGGAGCCGGGTTATTACATTCCCTAGTTCTGGTTTCCATTCCTCCATCACATTTAGCAGAGCATTCAGACCAGTCTCCGAAATCACTGTATCCTCCGTGAACTATAGGGAAGACATTTTTAACTTTTTAAGGAGCAAGCTCATCTTTAAAAGAATCATTCTTGTACTGCATAAAAATTCTTTTTCTCTGCAGGGGTAATTTTGTGCAAGAAACTACTTTCACAAACTGTTTCCATACAAATAAATTTCGAATAGAACATCATTTAGGATGTAGAGGAATATAACACTAACCTGGGCAAGGGTCTGTGTTACATTCTCTAGATTCAGAAGCCTCTCCTTCACAGTCTTCACCACCATGCTGAGGAGCAGGGTTGTTACATTCCCTAGTTCTGGATTGCATTCCTCCGTCACATCCAGCAGAGCATTCGGACCAATCTCCGAAATCACTGTACCCTCCGTGAACTATAGGGAAGACATTTTTAACTTTCAAGGAGCAAGCTCAAAATCATTATTTTAAAAAATAAATTGAATCCGATTTTGAACTGCCTCCAAATTTTTCTTTTCTGCAGATGCATTTTTACAAGAAACTACTTGCAAAAACTGTTTCCACATGCATACAAATAAATTTCAAATAAAACATCATTCAGGATGTAGAAGAATATAACAATATAAACCTGGGCAAGGGTCTGTGTTACATTCTCTAGATTCAGATTCCTCTCCTTCACAGTCTTCACCACCATGCTGAGGAGCAGGGTTATTACATTCCCTAGTTCTGGATTGCATTCCTCCGTCACATTCAGCAGAGCATTCGGACCAGTCTCCGAAATCACTGTACCCTCCGTGAACTATAGGGAAGAAATTTTAACTTTTTAAGCTGAGCAAGCTCATCTTTAAAAGAATCATTCTTTTTTGGAATTAATTGAATCCGATTTTGAACTGCATAAAAATTCTTTTTCTCTGCAGGGGTAATTTTGTGCAAGAAACTACTTTCACAAACTGTTTCCATACAAATAAATTTCGAATAGAACATCATTTAGGATGTAGAGGAATATAATAATATAAACCTGGGCAAGGGTCTGTGTTACATTCTCTAGATTCAGATTCCTCTCCTTCACAGTCTTCACCACCATGCTGAGGAGCAGGGTTATTACATTCCCTAGTTCTGGATTGCATTCCTCCGTCACATTCAGCAGAGCATTCGGACCAATCTTCGAAATCACTGTACCCTCCGTGAACTAGAATGAAAAAAGAATTAGTTTGCTTAGGCAAAAAACTAAAAAATTTTTTAAATTTAAAAATTTAAAATGAAATAAAAATAAGAATCACATTGGTAATATCTTTGTCCATGGTTATAACATACATTCAAGCAAACATATTTATACTTTACCTGGGCAGAAGGCTTCTTCAATACATTCTCCTTCGTGGAGAACGTATCCATCATCACATTCACATCGTTTAACACATTCTTCTTCTTCACCCCCGAAGTTGAAAGATACGAATTGACTGTCGTGAACAACTATTGGTTCCTCGCAGGATTCGTCACAAGTCTGATTACAGCTTGAACCACATTGGTTGTAGAAGGAATTTGGGTCTTCACACTCTGAAAATTGTTGTATGATATTATCATAACTAGCAGGAAAGCATTTTTGCTATAAAATGTTACTTAAAACAGAAATATATAGTTATTTTCATTTTAAAGCGATGTTGTTATTGAAAAACTAAATTAATTTATTGTGTAAAATAAAAAATCAATTAGCAATTAAAAGGCCCTTAGCATTTTTACCTTGGCTTTTTGACCCTATTGTTTTATCACGCTTTCAATTCTTGAGCGCCATAAAAAAGATTTTCATTTCTAAAAAACCTTGCGAAAAATGAAAGAGCTGCAAATATTGCTACAGATTATTACGAACCTAAACAGTCGTGGGCGTTGCAAATTTCAATTTCAGATTCCTCTCCTTCACACTCTGCACCACCATGAGCGGGAGCAGGGTTGTTGCACTGTCTGGTCCTTGTTCTATTTCCTCCATCACACTCAGCAGAGCACTCGGACCAATCTCCAAAGTCACTGTATCCTCCATCCACTGGAATTAGAATTGATTAGATAAGAAGTAAACAATTGATGACAGTTAGTTTAGCTCAACAGTTTTTAAATTTAACGTCGGATCCTGTTATTGTTGCGAATGTTATGTTTTATTTTGTGATATCCAGAAACTGACCTAATCAGTTTATTACCTTAATAACAAGAATTGCGCCGGTTAGCGGACGCTAGATTTCCATCAACAATCAACCGTACGCATTGCCTTTTAAAATTTAAAATTACAATTAACGATCGTTTCATGTTGGTAAAAATATCAAATAATGGTTCTTTATTCATCATTCTTGGGGCGCTACGGAGAACAAAATAGAGGGGTTGCCATTGTCAATTATTCAAATTTAAAAAGTTAAATGACCGGACACCGTAGCCTGCGCCTGTGTGGTGATATGCAATTAAGAGTTTGAAGAACAAAAGCCTTGCGAAGGAATGGTTATTTACCAGTTTACATAAGTTGTTAAATTAAATTAAATGGTCGTCGTGAAATCCGTAGTAGGTAATGTAACTCATAATAACATCTATTATGGTCTACCTTATCGGACTTTATTTGGACGGAAATTACTTGAACGGACATAATTATGAACGGACATTAATATGAACGCTAGAAGGCAATCAAAAATCCTAATTTTTTCATCTTTTTTTGACGTTTTGTTAATTTTAGCAAATGATTTTTAAATCCATTTTTCATACAGTAAGCTTATCTGCGCTGTGCAGATAAGGTACGAAGGTACCTACAGGACTAGATTATATGCCGGCGGTCACATACTTAGGGAGATATCCCGGTTTGTCTTCTACTTTATCGAGATGGGTGGTATGGTAGAAGGTATCGTAGCTGACATAAGCCACCGAAGGTCGCCTATACCAAGTGGGGGGCTAGAGATAAAGCTTAAGCTGTATTTTAGGCATTCAAGTATCTCTCTAGTAGAGCAGTTGGGATCGTTCATTGCCCGGTACGACTACGAGTTGGACAGACAACCAGTTGTAAGAGAAAATGTGGAGGTAGAAAAAGCCGAAGATCAACTTCAAGATAGTATAGTGATCATGCAATAATGTGATATTTACAATTCTGATTGTTAAAATTTTATAATACCTTGTTTTTATTAATTTAACGATATAGTTTAGTCTAATGATAGCTATTGAAATTGACTGAAATCAAAAAGTTGTCATATTCTGGACAAAAAGTTCGAATTGAAAAAATTTTTGAAAAAAATTCAACGGACTTTAACTTGGACGGACATTATATATATTAATATATTAATTGAACGGACTTTATTTGAAAACGCTAGGGCCTCCAGCGCTCAAGTAATGTCCGTCCAAATAAGGTCCGATAAGGTATATGGTCCATTTCGTATAACAAATCAGTCACTCGACAATCATGTTCAACATAATATTAGCATCATAATTTGTTCAACAGTATAACGGATTACTAATATCATTATCGGGAGCCAAGTCGGTGGTTGCACCAAGCACTCACAACAAAACGAGAAGTTAGTATGTTGTAGTGCATCATGATCAATGATCATTGATCAAGTAAAGAAAAGCTTGAACTACTTAACAAATGTATAAGATCCGGGAAATCGCTTGTTATTCAAATCAATTACCATAGACAATAGAATTCAAATTTTATGCTTGGCGCCGCGCATTTGAAAGTGTAATTTAATCAATCGTCAAATCGTGCAAACGTATGCGGAGGGTAACCATGGCGACGACACCATTACTACTCTGGGCGCGGAGAAGATGCATTAATATGGCGTATGCGGAGGGTAATGCATGTTTTCCTTTGTGACACCACTCACCTGACACGAAAAACCTACTACCTACTATACCCATCCTCAATTCATACCACTTCTAACCATCTTATACTTTTTTACAAAAAAAAAGAAAAGTTGATGGAAAAAACAAATAATTAGTTTGATAATTGTTACCTGGACAGAAGGCTTCTTCAATACATTCTCCTTCATGGAGAACGTATCCATCATCACATTCACACCGTTTAACACATTCCTCTTCTTCACCCCCGAAGTTGAAAGATACGAATTGACTGTCGTGAACAACTATTGGTTCCTCGCAGGATTTGTCACAAGTCTGATTACAACTTGAACCACATTGGTTGTAGAAGGAATTTGGATCTTCACACTCTGAAAACAGTAGTTTGTTTAGATTTGATAAGCATCTAAGTTAGTAAATGCTCATTATAACAAAGCTTTAAATATTGCTGAAGATAATTACGAACCTAAACAGTCCTGGGCGTTGCAAATTTCTATTTCAGAATCCTCTCCTTCGCACTCTGCACCGCCATGAGCGGGAGCAGGGTTGTTGCACTGTCTGGTCCTTGTTCTATTTCCTCCATCACACTCAGCAGAGCACTCCGACCAATCTCCAAAGTCACTGTATCCTCCATCCACTGGAATGAGAACAAATTTACATTTTCTGGTAAATTGTTCCTTCTCAATGGTTTTGTAATCGGATGTGGTGGCATCTTCGTTATGTTGAGACATTCGAGAAAATAGATTTTACCTGGACAGACGGCTTCTTCAATACATTCTCCTTCGTGGAGAACGTATCCATCATCACATTCACACCGTTTAACACATTCTTCTTCTTCACCCCCGAAGTTGAAAGATACGAATTGATTGTCGTGAACAACTATTGGTTCCTCGCAGGATTCGTCACAGGTCTGATTACAGCTTGAACCACATTGGTTGTAGAAGGAATTTGGATCTTCACACTCTGTAAACAGTTGTGAAAAATAATTTACTGGTCGATTAACAGAACAGCAGATCTAAAATAATCAAACATTCTTTTGCGATAGCACAATTAGTTGAATTTGCAAGCAACAAAAAATACCAAGATTTTGTAACGAGGGAGCTCAAATATCAAATTTCTTAGTTACAAAGTAGATTTCATCGAGAACACTTTTTGAAATATTAAAGCTGTAAATATTTTGTAGATAATTACGAACCTAAACAGTTGTGGGCGTTGCAAATTTCTATTTCAGATTCCTCTCCTTCACACTCTGCACCACCATGAGCGGGAGCAGGGTTGTTGCACTGTCTGGTCCTTGTTCGATTTCCTCCATCACATTCAGCAGAGCACTCCGACCAATCTCCAAAGTCACTGTATCCTCCATCCACTGGAATGAGAACAAATTTACATTTTCTGGTAAATTGTTCCTTCTCAATGGTTTTGTAATCGGATGTGGTGGCATCTTCGTTATGTTGAGACATTCGAGAAAATAGATTTTACCTGGACAGACGGCTTCTTCAATACATTCTCCTTCGTGGAGAACGTATCCATCATCACATTCACACCGTTTAACACATTCTTCTTCTTCACCCTCGAAGTTAACGGATACGAATTGACTGTCGTGAACAACTATTGGTTCCTCGCAGGATTCGTCACAAGTCTGATTACAACTTGAGCCACATTGGTTGTAGAAGGAATTGGGATCTTCGCACTCTGAAAATCGTGGTACGTTTGGATTTGATAAGCATCTAAGTTAGTAAATACTCTATTTATAGAACAAAGCTGTGCCTAAATATGTTGTAGATTATTACGAACCTAAACAGTCGTGTTCGTTGCACTCTTGACTTTCAGATTCCTCTCCTTCACAGTCTTCACCACCATGCTGAGGAGCAGGGTTATTACATTCCCTAGTTCTGGATTGCATTCCTCCATCACATTCAGCAGAGCATTCAGACCAGTCTCCGAAATCACTGTACCCTCCATCCACTGGAATAAAAAAGAATCAGCGAATGACAGTGGGCTGTGTTAGAAATTTGCGCGCTTGATTGCAAAATTCGTAAATGATAGTAATTTATTCGTTCGGAAAATAATGGTTATCGTTAAATTTTGAGTGGTGTTTATTTAGTGCTGTGATTTAAGTTTTTAAGTTTTTTTATTTTATTAATATTCTGTACATAGACCGTAAAAAATCTTGTAGCGGTTTCCACCGAAAGCACCTGTGAAGGGAACACATAACTTCACGAGTGATACACTGATTACTAATTACACTTATTAGTAATTACAAATATTAGTAATTACAATAATTACAATAATTAATAATTACACTAATTACACTAATTAATAATTACACTAATTACTACACACAGTGCTCCTTAGTCCTTACCTGATTGATTACAGAGTTTAATGAATGAACAATTATTAAAACGATTTGTTATTACAAAACTAACAGAACAGATCCCCATTCTCGATATCTAAAAATAAATTTAAAATCATCTGAAATTCAATTAATGTCTAAAAACCGGTAGACAACCTGACTAGGATAAAATTACAATTTGAGATTCAATATTCCATCCTAAATAAAGATCAAAATTCCAAAACTTGTCGATAAATGCAAATAAAAATGACACCCGAAAAAACGGACTGTGCTAGAGATTGAAGAGTCCTACAATTCACAGAATTATACTACTCTAATTTGAGCTATTTTCCTCCCATTTCGCTTTTAATTCCTTCCTGAAAAGCACAAGACTTAAATGTGTGACAATGCTGCATGTGGAGTTTATCATTAAACATGTTACTATAAAATCTGAATTTTAAATTTATGGTTATTAAGATATTGCAGGGGGGGTCCAAGAAAATAACCAGTTCCATACGCTCTGAAGAGGAGAAATGGAGGAACAGTACATGACTGATGCACGGACTGATGCACGGACTGATGCACGGACTGATGCACGGACTGATGCACGGACTGATGCACGGACTGATGCACGGACTGATGCACGGACTGATGCACGGACTGATGCACGGACTGATGCACGGACTGATGCACGGACTGATGCACGGACTGATGCACGGACTGATGCACGGACTGATGCACGGACTGATGCACGGACTGATGCACGGACTGATGCACGGACTGATACACGGACTGTGTCGGGCTTCCTGGATACTGCCCAGTACATGATCCATGAGTGGATATTACAATAATGAATAATATAAACTTAACAAGTCCCCAGACTTACCAACTTCCTCCCTCCAGAATACTTAACAAGTCTTATAGGAAGGTCCCCAGAGAATGTACCTTACCAACTTCCTCCCTCCAGTGCTTCATCAATCTGTAATCAACAGCCTCCAAACCCAAGCAGTGCTGTTTTTTACCACCACATTTGCCGTTGGTGGAGTGACTGCAGCAAGGGTATGTCCCCTCAGGGTTACACTCGGCAGGAGTTCCGTCTGGTAAGGGATTCTCACTCCCACACAGACGGTCAAACCTCCACTTCATCGGCGGGGAACCTGACGGAGAGGGATACTATATGAACTGGTTACTAGTTGGTAACTAGTTGGTAACTAGTTGGTAACTAGTCGGTAAGTGGTAACTAGTTGGTAACTAGTTGGTAACTAGTCGGTAAGTGGTAACTAGTTGGTAACTAGTTGGTAACTAGTAGTAATCTGTAGGTAGGAAAACAATTTTCTTCCTAAAACACTGAGCTAATAACACAATGAGCGTGCTAGTAAAACTAAAGATTAAGTAAACTACAAATAATGCAGTAGTAACCAATAATATATATAACCGATATACAGTAGTAACTAATAATATATACCTTATCGGACCTTATTTGGACGGACATTACTTGAACGCTGGAGGCCCTAGCGTTCATCTTAATGTCCGTTCAAATAAAGTCCGTTCAATTAATGTCCGTCCAAGTTAAAGTCCGTTGAAATTTTTTCAAAAATTTTTCCATTTGGAAGGTGCAGGAGAAACTAAATAACTTGACATCGAACGATAGATCACCTGACATCTACATTATGGGGGATTTCAACCTCCCAAATATAGATTGGGACTCTTGCCAAGCTTTACCTGGTCAACCGCTTTGTGACCAGCAAGCTTGTTCCGAACTAATTGATTTCATGGAGAGAAATTTCTTGACACAAATGATCTGTAAGCCCACGAGAAATAACAACACCATCGATCTCGTCCTTACAAATAAACCACAGGACACAGTTGAGACAAATATCTCCGAATGCCAACTATCTGACCACAGGCTAGTCGAGCTCGTTCTCGGACATAACCCGCTCTGCCCAAAAGAACATACTCCTATATCTTTCGACAGAAACTCTTTTCGGGCGACTGATTTTCTTAGAGCAGATTTTGAAGCAATGAACGATCGTTTAGAAGCTGTTAACTGGATCTCTTTGAGAGAACTCTGTTATGAAGATGAAGATGGAAGTGCCTTTCTGGAGCTGATACGCCTAACTGTCCTCCAGATAACCCTCCTAAACTCGCCTTCTAAAGACCCTACTGGATCTGGCCCTTCCCGCCCCCGTAGAAGTCGCCAAGTCCGTGAAAAATACACAATGAGAAGGAAAAGAAGAAAACTCAATGCCCAAATAAGTGCACTTACTCAAAACAACCCAACTTCGAGAAAAATCGAAAAGCTGAAAACCGAAGTGAATCTTCTGACCTTCGAAATAAGTGAACTTGTGATCAAGCAACTTAACGAAAAAGAAGTTAAAGCTGTAAGTACAATAAAGACGAACCCAAGATTCTTTTATTCTTACGCTAAACGATTTGCAAAGGTAAAATCATCCGTCGCCCCAATTAGAGATAAAAACGGAACTCTGAAAATGGACCCAGCGGAAAAAGCAGAAATTCTCCAGACTCAATATGTCACAGTCTTCAGCAACCCAAATTCTGCAAATGTTGAAGAATGCCTCGCCGGATTAGATCCTCATCCAAAAGAAGATCTCAACACATTCACCTTCACAGCAGACGACATATCAGATGCCATAAAGGAACTGGACCCGTATGCATCCACCCCTGATGGTGACATCCCGGCCAAGATCCTAACTAAATGTCGAAGGACAATCGCTGAACCAATTTATCTACTCTGGAAACGCTCATTTGATAACGGAGTCATACCATCTGGCATGAAGACACAGTACATCACACCTGTGTTCAAGAAAGGAGACCGAACATCTGCCGCTAACTATCGCCCTGTCTCGATAACCTCTCACATTATTAAGATATTTGAGAGAGTGGTCAGAAATCATCTTGTGGAACATATGGAGTCAAACAGCTTTCTCTCCCCCCATCAGCATGGATTCCGCAAGAAAAGAAGCTGCTTAACTCAACTAATAGACCACTTAGATAACATCCTGAAAACTCTCAACGACGGCAACGAGGTTGATGTTATATACCTTGATTATGCCAAAGCGTTCGATAAGGTAGATCATCAAATACTACTTGCAAAGGCAAAACGCTATGGAATAAAAGGAAAGACTCTGCAATGGCTGACTGAATTCCTGAAGGATCGCCTGCAAACTGTGGTCGTGGAAGGAACAAAATCATCCTTTCAGCTAGTAATCAGTGGGGTACCCCAAGGAACAGTATTGGGACCCATTCTTTTCATTCTATACATTGACGACCAACTTGATACATTGGTTACCGCTCTGGGAAAGGTGTTTGCTGACGACACCAAGCTCATTGGAAAAATCATGGACTTAGCTACCAAAAGCCTACTTCAAGACGACCTCCTCAATGTAATCGCTTGGGCCCTGAAGAACAACATGCAACTAAATGAGGCCAAATTCGAAATATTGAATTACAGCTTGAACAATTCATTACTGTTAAGAGAATTGCCCTTCACCAGTCAATATTCCTGTTACAATTTAACAAATGGAAGAACTATTGACCCAGCCAAAACTGTGAGGGACCTAGGGGTTCTCCTGTCAAATGACTGCTCCTGGTCTTCTCACATACAGCAGATGGCAAAAACAGCAAGGACGATGACGTCATGGGTCCTTAGCGTATTCAGAGATAGGTCACGCTTCCTCATGCTCACACTCTACAAAACCATGGTGAGAAGCAAACTCGAATACTGCTGCCCGGTGTGGAACCCTGACAAGATCAGCGATATAGAAGCTATTGAAAGCATCCAACGACACTACACTCGTCGAATCAGTGGCTGCCAGAACCTTGATTACTGGGAACGCCTGCAGAACCTGAATCTTCTCTCATTACAGAGACGCAGAGAACGATACATCATAATCCATACATGGAAGATGATGAATGGATTAGCTCCAAACGACATCAACATGCAGTTCAAGGAAAGCTCCCGACACGGTGTAAAGGCCACTGTGCCTGCATTTAACAAAAAGGCACAATGCTCAATCTCGACCCATTATGAGAACTCTTTTGGAGTAAAAGCAGCCAAACTATGGAACCTGCTCCCCAAGGAAGTTAACACAATCCAAGTCTTGGAAACTTTCAAATCCTCCCTTGCTAAATTCCTGAAAGGCTTCCCGGACACCCCGCCCACAAAAGGGTATACCGCCATCACAAATAATTCTCTTCTGGAATGGACTCTACAAAAAGATCTAAGCCAGGAGTGATTGGAGGACGTACTTGATACTGTTGTCCAGAAGCGATCCCTGCCGAACCTACCTAAAGTAACCTAAAGTAAGTATTTCGAACTTTTTGTCCAGAATATGACAACTTTGAGAACTTTATTGTGCCGTAAGTTAACGACGGAAAGGTTCTCCTTGGTCTGCCGGAGGCACAGAAAACTACTAGTATATGATGTTTTCAAGGGTCACTTGGCGGAAAAAAGTCAACAAAATTATGGCACTCAACAACATAGTTCATGAGCTAGTCCCCACCAACATGATAAACTTGTTCCAGCCTCTAGATATTACGGTAAATCGTGTTGCCAAGGACATTGTCCGACGTTGTTATAGTTCATATTACTGAGGGGAGGTAATGAAACAGTGCTAGGAAAGCTCTACGTGATGTTAAGGTTAACCTAAAGTTGTCTAAGATAAAACCACTTCACGCCGAATGGCTTGTAAAAGTTAACAATGAAATGCAGGACCGGGTAGGGGTAGTTTGATAAAAAAGGTTTCCACAATTAAGCTAGAAATCACTGATGCTTGTTTAAGCATGGACTATTTCATGCACGAAAACCCATTTAATGAAGATGATATGTGATATTAGACACTGATCATGTACACATATTTTAACATTTTTACTGCTTAATGACTGCTTTTCTTGCTTACTGTATGAAAAATGGATTAAAAAATCATTTGCTGAAATTTAAAAAAAGTCAAAAAATTGAAAAAAATTCGGATTTTTTATGGTTTTGAATGCCTTCGAGCGTTCATATTAATGTCCGTTCACAATTATGTCCGTTCATGTAATGTCCGTCCAAATAAGGTCCGATAAGGTAACTAATATAATATAGTAACTAATAATAATACTAAACTACCTGCTTCCCTCCAGTGTTTAACAACCCTGTAGTCAGTGCTGCCGGTACCAGTACAATGGTAAGAGGAGTTCCCACAAACCCCATAACTGGCCCGACTACAACAGGGGTATCCTCCATCTGGGTCACACTCGGAGCCTGTCGAGTTCGGGAGCGGGTATCCGGAGCCACATTTCTTGTCTAGCCTCCACTTTATTGTGGGCTCTCCTGTACGCAGATTATAATTAGGCCATGATCATTGAGTTCGGCTTTAGTTTTTCAATGGCAATTCATTGATATGTCACTAAATTTTTTCATACCGCTCCCAACGGTCAAACCCTTTGTCACTAAATAGGGAACTTTACTTTACATTTCTGTTCCTAGACCGTCACGAACATTCGTTTTTTAAATTAGGAGGCCATTGAAATCAAATCATCGTATCCAAATTCCGATTTACAGCATTTTTTTGCACAATCTTGCAATGGATTGTTATGGAGTTATGGACATGACATATGCATTTAGCTGTGATGACATATTGTATAATATGCTGTTAAACAATTACAGAATTTCCAATCTTTTCGAGTTATTTCATAATGAAGATGAATGAGTCTCCCCTGAATTGAAAAAATAAGATGCAACTGAGTAACACGTTTCCCCTGTATGCTTGTTAGTTGGTAAATATTTGGTTACTAGCTGGTAACTAGCTGGTTACTAGCTGGTTACTAGCTGGTTACTAGCTGGTTACTAGCTGGTTACTAGCTGGTTACTAGCTCTGGTTACTATTTTGTAACTATGTAACTATAACTAGTCGAGAGTAACTAACCATTATTGCAGAGATAAGTTGAACAGCGTCTGACGGAGCAGGTGGCATGTGCTTCATTTGAACTGTAGTAGTTGTAGATTTTGCAGAGTTCGTCTGGAAAATAAGGTGAAATCAAACAAATCTGAACTACTATAACAGATAGGGATAAGAATTGAAGTCAAATTAAACGATCAACGCTCCTAAAGAACTGAAAAAACGTGAAATTAAGCTCAAATAACCAACTACTGGTAAAACTAAATAAATTTTACACGAATATCCTAGTGTTACAAAATGTTACACAAATAAAAGTGTAACGAAATGTCACACAAATAAAAGTGTAACGAAATGTCACATACCATCAGAGAACATCCTAGGAGCACAGAGACGAATCTGAGGTGGAGATTTAGCGGAGAGGTCGTCTGCAGAGCCATTAGTGTAGAATATTGTAGCACAGTCCCCGTGGCACATGTTAGTGTAACAGTGCTCTGTTTTAGTGTTTGTTTTGACGCATTTGTAGCAGTATAACCTCCCTCCCCGATCTGGTGGGGTTATTGTTTATTTTTACAGTTTAACGACCAATGACGTGTTCAACATGTACATATAATGTTTCCAACTTGTGCCCAAAGCTATAGGTTAATGGCAGCCAAATGGTAAATGATAATGCTACTTTAAGGATAATAATTACTTAAAGGATCCAGGCAAAGGTAAAAAGAAAACTCTTTTTTCGAAACTGAACTCTGAAGTAACTTCAAACCTACAAAAATCCTTGAGTTTATTTCCCGTCATGCCCGGCCCGGCTCTATCTCTTCTCTCCTCTTTCAGTGAAATTCGTCTCGGGGCGTCGTCTGAGTGAAATTGCTGCAAATACTGGTCAGTGTTTGTGGGGAGATTTGGTAATTTTATAAAAAAAGTTCGCAGGAATTTCATATTAAATTAGTAACTCGCTTGGATTGTACAAATTTTAGAGTTCCCAATTTGCATGAGTCGTCCTAAACGAAAGACGTCGAGAAAAGTGCTGTAAGTACTTCAGAACCATTTCTTTCACATGTCACCAATCACCATGTGATTATTTTTATAACAGTGATATTATATTAGATTATAACAGTGATATTATATTTCCACTTCAAGACAACGAGTTCTCAGCCGATCTACCCCAATCCTTATAATAAAACTTCTCCTGATAAGGGACGATGTGGGACGATAAGGGACGATAAGAGAAGATAAGGGACAATAAGGGACGATAAGGGATGCCTATTAATAAAATAAAATAAAAATGAGGAAATAACTGATTAATTTACACGGTCCTAATTTAATAATTAGTACAAATAACGTGTTGTTCAACAGTCACCCAAGTCCGCTTATATATTTGTGAAATTTGAAATTAAGAGGATCCTCCTGATATCAAATTACGTGCAACAATTATTATTCGAATTAGTGGCGTCTTGTTAACCTTATAAAGGGTACTTTGAACTATGACATAATACGAGAGTCTGTATTCTTAACACAATTATTGAATTATTACGACTCGCTGATCACACTTAAACTAACCACGAGCGGTTGCTAATTTTAATCATTTCAAATTTATTTGTTTGAGTATTCGAAGTTGATATAAGCGGGATGTAAATTTAATATTTAATTTCACTTCGAGGTCCTCCTCAAACCAGAGATTTATGGTACAGGGCTTGTCTGGAATCCTCTCGAAGTATGAAGGAGTTTCCAGTAATATTATATTAAAATATAATTCACAAAATTATAATATATTAAATTATAATAATATAATTATAGAATTTTGAGTGTAATACATTCGAAACAACTCTATGGAGCTATGAGTATGTGGCATCTTATTATAGAATTTTTAGTGTTCCCCGCATGTTTAGCACTGAGGACAACTTGAGGACTCTCAGAACTCAGAAAGGAATTTCATGACATCATACTGGAGCTGGTTTCATAAAAATAAAGCGATTAAAGAAAACACTGTTTTTAAAGATTCTAATTTGTTAAAAGATAATTTTGAGATCAATTTTCAGTATTAAGGATTTTTGATAACCATTATTATCCGAACGTTTTGAAATTCAACACAAAATAATACAAAAGTCATTATATTTTGTGCAAGATGAATAAAATTAGAGTTGCGCGTAAATGCAGACTAACGCGAAAGGTATAAATTTCTGAGGTATGCAGCTATACGTCGCGGTACGTGGTTTTTCAGCTGCCCCGGTGATCCTATTCCTACAGCTCCCCAGAATCAAAGGGATCAGATCCATTACAGTCGAGTGAAAACACGTACGCTCTACCAGACCTCAGGAATTAATAAAATGCAGCGCAAGTTAGTCCCTTAGATAATCATGATAATGAGATTTGTCCTGCACGAATATTTCCATAACTCGAGCGGAATTCTGCACAATGCGCTGTTCGCAAAAGGGTTATTTTTACAAATCCACTTTAAATAATATTTAAGCCAAGCGATCATGAATTTTTACGTGTCAGGATGGAGCTGGTAATTGTTAGAGATGAAGTAACTATGAAGTAACTACAATGGTGTTATAAAACATTTCTTTGCTAAGTTTTGGCTGAGATCAGTTAACACAAATGAATGCAGACTTTTAAAACTCGCGACGAACAATTTACGCTTGCTGTTGTTAAAATGGCGCACGTACAGTATAATGTTATACAGGGTGTACAACAAAAATTGAGACTTTGTTTCTGACAAAAGTTAGTTAAACATAACCGTGAAGTTTGATTTTGTCAAAAATTATTAAAATGGAAAAAGTCACACTTTATGCGGTACACTCTGCATATCAATATGGAGTGAATGGTGGTGAAAATGTTAATTCAGAATAACCTGGACAAGGGTTTAAGTTGCATTCGCGACTCTCCGAACTATCTCCCTGACACTCAGCACCATTCCCAACAGGTGCAGGATTATCACATTGTCTGGTCCTGGCTTGAGTACCTCCGTCACACTCAGCATCACACTCCGACCACTCCCCAAAGTCGCTGTACCCTCCATCAGTATCGCAGGTGTGCCCACACTTCATCAGATACTTCTCCATCTCTGCACACTTCTTTTTGTCATTCCTCCTCAGTTTCTTGTCCGTTTCTTGCTTCACGCATCCCTCGATTGACGGCTCGTACCCAATAGAGAGGCACTTGTTGTACTTCACTATTTTACTGGGCAGTTTATCAGCGGAATAGCGACATCGCTGTGCCTCAACTGAGATCAGCAGAACTGCAAAAAGGGCAGATAGAAAACCGGTGCTCATCTTCAACAAATCAAACAAATACCACAACTAGACTAATATACGTGACTCTCGGAACGCTCAAACTTGTTCCTATAATAGCCGGCAATCCTCCCCAAAATCAGATTATCATTCAGAGAAGGGGGTATCTAATTATTCAAACCTAGTTGCTGCTGCAAAGTTCGCAAAGAATGCAACTCATTACTTGCCCAGAAGGTTCTTGAGTGCTGTGTCGGGTTCCAGAGAGAGAGAGAGAGCGTTCAGTAGGAGCTGGAATAGTGTGTCTGGTGAGCTGGAATACTGAGGTCACGTGTTTATATAGCATGTTTTGATAAGTTGGGATTACTTGATTGGGTGCTGGGTTATGTTTCACAATTAACCACGAGGCGGGGTTTTTACAGCCATCTTAATTTCCGTACGTGTTGAACTAGGGTGGAACTGTGATAGAATGCCTTAAATTCTTTATATGTCCCTGAAAAATAGCATAAATAAATGTTCTATGGCTTATCAGATTTCATCAAATCCCCAAAAGTTGAACTTGTAAAAATATCTGCATATAAATTTAAACATAGTCTCATGCTTACCGTAGGTACTTTTGTGCAACCGAAAGGGGGAGTCAGACTGAGAGTATTATTGAGTATATTTTGCAAACCTGCAGTCTAGTGCATGGCATACAAAATTGCATTCAAAATCTGGGCTGTACATTTTATTGGGAGGGGGGCTGTTTGTTTTGCGAGTGAAGTTGCGCAACTGAGCCAGCTACGGCAGGAGTTTCGGGCAGCAGCCCCTCCAACAATTTCTACTGTTTATGATGACACGTAACCTTCGCATAAAACGTAGAATAATTTATACTATTATTAGCACAACTAATTTTTAAATACATAACTAAGCGTTTCATTTTAACATTCGTTAATTTGATAATTAACGAGCCACCTGTTTATTGTTTGTCACTTAAACTGTTATTTGTTTTCAGATTTTACACTAATTCAGGAATTCCTTTAATCGAGCTTCAGTCGCGACTCCTGAGTCCTTGGAGCACACACGTGACACACGTGACACACGTGACACACACGCGACACACACGTGACATGTTGGTCACATAACATGTTCGCTCATGTCACATGCCAGACACGTGACATGTTGGTGATCATTGCTCGGATTTACAAAAGTTCTTAAAGAGCTCTGCTAAAGACAAGTTACCATATGTGAGTGTGACCTATGTTGCAATACTTTCTGATAATCTGATGTTCAGAAATTAACTTTTAACATTGACCTGAAATATTACCAGACGACCAGACCATGATAATCATCGATACATATTTTAATGGTTATAATAATTGTCTAGATATCCCAGAAATATAGTGTACTCCACCATAAAGCACGTGACATTATTAATACCCAAACTATTTAGATATTTGAAAAGAGCGAGAGTTTGTGTGGAGGTTCCTTTTGTTTTGGCGGGTTTTAAACTATTTATAATTAAATACATTTATTGAGAAAATTATGTAATGTAACGCGATGGAAGTTCTTAAAGCGGGCAATTCCAGTCCATTAATACTACTATGTCATGCTGGTATGCTACATTGTGTATTAAATGGCATATTTCTGGCTAAACAGTCTGTTTCAAACTTTCCTCAATTAAACATTCTATAATAATATAATATAGAATGCAGCAACGAAATAATTTTATAAACCATACTTTAGTTTTAAGTAAAGTAGCTCATATACACTAATCTTTAGGTTTAAATAACTCAACTTATATAGAACTATTTAAGTAAATTAACTTTAAGAAACTACACCACAGAGCCCCTCCACTTTATCTTAACGAAATACACAATTAAAATGTTAATATTTTAATATAAAAAGACAAGGTTCAGGTTACACTAGATAGTTACTGCGAATGTAAATTAATCTCATCAGTATTATTTTGATTGTGTCTTCGAGATTTGACTAAGTCATAGTATTTGTCCCCCATTTTCCCTTGTATATATAATGACCCATATTCAATATGAGATTAATCCTAGAAAATTTGTGCACATACATTTCACTTGATAAATAATAAATATGCAGATTTTCAAAGTAGAAATTATTTCTGCTGGTACTTGATTCCGAGCCATTATTTTTGCTTCGTAAATTTTACTAATTTCTAATTTGTATTGTGAAAATACTTTATTAAATGGCCCTGTTAAAATGTGCAATTGTGCTTATTCACACCTTATCACGAGGTATTGCCCTTACAGTGATGCAGGAGTAAGAAGATAGAGCTGATTTCATGTCAGTACATTTTACTCCCTCCGCTAATAGAGCCAATGCTGGCAAGTTACTTAACCAGTCGAGAAAAAAGAAGATTGTAGACGATGTTGGGTTCTGCAATCATTACTCAGACTGTTCAGGGGTAATTAAAATAACTTTTGTTTTCAAGCGCAAAATCTCAAAATAAGAAAATCAATGTTTGTGTAAACATTTCTAAACCTTTTAGCCTTCATTTTCACAGATTGTGACCAGGTAGTTTTACCTAGTGACCAGATAGTGTTACCTAGTGACCAGGTAGTATTACCTAGTGACCAGGTAGTGTTACCTAGTGACCAGGTAGTGTTACCTAGTGACCAGGTAATGTTACCTAGCAACCAGGTAGTGTTACCTAGTGACCAGGTAGTGTTACCTACCAACCAAGAGCAATTCAACTAAAACTAAAAATATGTCCAGACGTTCAGCCTAGTCAACAAGCGCATGGGAAAGAAGGAATCCTTCCGCTTCAGCAAAGAAAAGTCTCTATTCCTTCTTTCTTCCAGGAGTCTCGTAAGGAGATTCTGTATACGAATTATATGTACTCAGTGGTTCGATCACTTCATCATTTCTCTTATCCTTATCAACTGTGTTCTTCTTGCTGCCGACACGGAGGCACCTTACATAGAGTAAGTGAACCCCAAGTAAAGTTATTTTAAGGTCCCCAGTTACTTTAGGCCCTTTTAAACGTTGTTAAACTGAAACCAGCAACAAGAGATGAAATTGTATAATAATGGCTTCAGGACAATATCTTTGTTCGACTGTTTGATGGTTTGATTAAGTATGTTTAATAATTTATGTTTTCTTGGGTAAATTTCTATTGATCCCGTTTGATGCGACAAGGAAAAGGCGTTTCAATGTGACATTGTGACAACATCGTATTCATGATCTCAAATTATTTACTATAGTGTTGAAAGTATTACAACTTTAATAATTGATTAATATTAACTAAATTAACAATAACAAGGGCACTCCAGGTACGCCTTTGCAGTGATTTACACATTGGAAGTTATTGTAAAAGTTCTGGCTAGAGGGTTCGCGTTCCACAAACACGCCTATCTGAGGGACCCTTGGAATATATTAGACTTTGTTGTTGTATTCTTCGGGTAAGTTGCTTTTAACATTAGCGGTGACTGTTAGTGTTACCTAGTGGTACCACTTACCAGGTTGTGTTATCTAGTGACCACAAACATGCTTATCTTTTAACTTCTTAACATTAACATTAAATGCAATTATATCTTGAAAATAAAATATTAATACGCCCCTGCTACTATAGTCGATGTATCCTGTTTATTTTCAAGCTTACCAAAACTCGTTATGAATCAACACCACTACTTATATATATATATATATACTTCATTGTTTTAGATATCTCACTTTGGTGGAACAACTCAACGAATTCTCGTTTATAAAAGCTTTGAAAGTTCTAAGAGCACTGCGAACTATTGCTGTAGTTCCAGGTTAGTGATAATGTAATTATTACTTAATTACTTAATTACTTAATTACTTAATTACTTAATTACTTAATTACTTAATTACTTAATTACTTAATTACTTAATTACTTAATTACTTAATTACTTAATTACTTAATTACTTAATTACTTAATTACTTAATTACTTAATTACTTAATTACTTAATTACTTAATTACTTAATTACTTAATTACTTAATTACTTAATTACTTAATTACTTAATTACTTAATTACTTCCTAATTATTTTATTAATTCGAATTAAATTAGTTCATAACACGTTTTTTCCAGGTTTGCGTGTAATAGTAAACTCGCTGCTAAAGTCCTTGCAGAGTCTCTCAGACATAATGCTACTGACCCTCTTCTTCTTAGCTGTCCTGGCTATTATCGGCCTGCAGGTCTTCATGGGGCAGCTCAGGAACCGTTGCATCACAGCACCAGATCTAGTGAACACGACCTCACGTCACGAGGAGTGGTGGGGCGTTAAACCGGACGATGTTGGGTTTCTATCTGAGGAGGTTTGTTTGGGGATCACCTTTACTTACTGGCCAATGTTTACTTCAAATATATGTAATGTTATTATAGATACAAAATTGATGTTTAAAAAATGTAGCACAAAACACGTGATATTATTGCATGATATTTATAACCCCAGGTGCAGGAAATGAGGATGGCTTTTATAAACGATACCAGAAACTGGATACCTGATGCTGACGATCCCATTATTTGTGGTCCTCCGAACGCGCCGTAAGATTAACTGATTTTAAAAGTTACATAACCGCAATTAGGGTTTTAGATCTGCTCATGTTTTAAGATTCTCCACAACTACAAGAGCACTAGCAGGGTTCGTTGTATCCCATATTAGGAGATGTTTTTTGTATTTATCAAAGTTTCCAATGCAAAATCAAATATTTTTTACAGAAAAAAAGAGGAAACAACCTCTCTACCTGGTTGCTAGGTAACACTACCTGGTCACTAGGTAACACTACCTGGTCACTAGGTAACACTACCTGGTCACTAGGTAACACTACCTGGTCACTAGGTAACACTACCTGGTAACTAGGTAACACTACCTGGTCACTAGGTAACACTACCTGGTCACTAAGTAACACTGCCTGGTAACTAGGTATCACTACCTGGTTGCTAGGTAACACTACCTGGTCACTAGGTAACACTACCTGGTCACTAGGTAACACTACCTGGTAACTAGGTATCACTACCTGGTTGCTAGGTAACACTACCTGGTCACTAGGTAACACTACCTGGTCACTAGGTAACACTACCTGGTCACTAGGTTACACTACCTGGTCACTAGGTAACACTACCTGTAACCTGGTCACTAGGTAACACTACCTGGTTGCTAGGTAACACTACCTGGTCACTAGGTTACACTACCTGGTCACTAGGTAACACTACCTGTAACCTGGTCACTAGGTAACACTACCTGGTTGCTAGGTAACACTACCTGGTTGCTAGGTAACACTACCTGGTCACTAGGTAACACTACCTGGTTGCTAGGTAACACTACCTGGTTGCTAGGTAACACTACCTGGTTGCTAGGTAACACTACCTGGTCACTAGGTAACACTACCTGGTCACTAGGTAACACTACCTGGTTGCTAGGTAACACTACCTGGTTGCTAGGTAACACTACCTGGTAACTAGGTAACACTACCTGGTCACTAGGTAACACTACCTGGTCACTAGGTAACACTACCTGGTTGCTAGGTAACACTACCTGGTTGCTAGGTAACACTACCTGGTAACTAGGTAACACTATCTGGTTGCTAGGTAACACTACTAGGTAACTAGGTAACACTACCTGGTTGCTAGGTAACACTACCTGGTTGCTAGGTATCACTCACATTCTCAAATTAATTTCAGGGGAACACGGCAGTGTCCGGACGCTAGTGTATGTTTACAAACAGATATCAACCCTAACGACGGTTACACTAGTTTCGATAACTTCGGCTCGGCTATGTTGACCTGTGCTCAACTGATCACTCTCGACTTCTGGGAGGATATTTACGGCAAGGTTTGTATCACGGATTGTAGGTCCCAACCCTACATTATAATACTTACTATTAGTATATACTATTCACCCCTGTCCCCTATACTATTATACCCACTTTACTGTTTCTTCCAGGTATGTTTACGGCAAGGTTTGTATCACAGATTTTAGGCGGATCAACATTTTATATAGTCTTTGAAATTATTCATTTGGTGAAATATAATGTTTTTAAAAATATAATATTTTCTCCAGGTGTTAGGGGCTAGTGGGGAGATCTACATCTTCTACTTTCTAATTGTTGTCTTCTTCGGGTCCTTCTACCTCCTTAACCTGGTCCTGGCGGTTGTTTTTATTTCTTATGAGCAGGAAGTCTTGGCTCCACAAAAAGAAAAGGTAATGATTTACACGTGGACCATGATAGTCCTTCAGTTAATTTTGATAACATCATTGTTTACATAATGGTAAACTGGTCCTATATTGGTGATCTCAAATCAATAAATTATTACCGCAGGCATGTTCAACTAAGTCGGACGTTGATTCCAACAAAGAAGACGAAAACCACCCGTCATGGCCCCTCACTCCCCTCACTCCCCGCGAAAGTTACACCGTTACACAATCGTTCAACAACGACTCCCCCCACCTGAGTCACTCTGCCTATTACCTAGACTACACTTACGGGTTGCCCAAGAGACCCCACACAACCAATCAGAACACAGTATTTACACCACGTGACACACGGAGACCCCCCAAACGGGGCTTCCTGGCTGCTCTCAAGATCTGCTGCTCTAAACAGTTCCTGTGGTACAAGATGTTTGGAGTGTACCCGGAGGTCAAGGTATAGGACCTATTTACTGGCGCTGTCATTCCGCCGAATCTCTATTCGGCTATATATATGATTATGAATTATTTTATTATATGATTATTATTATCTATATGATTATGAACATAAATATAATAGCCTGGGGTCCCAAGATAAAGGACCCAACAAAAGAAACATACTACGAGATATTGGGTGACGTGATATTTTATGCCCCCCCCCCCCCCCCCCTATTTTATGCCCCCCCCCCCCCCCCTCATGTACTGCTCTCTTCAAGGTAAAGGACCCAACAAAAGAAACATACTACGAAATATTGTGTGACGTGTGGACCTGGTTCCGCAGTCAGATAAGGAGTTTTATTTATAGTTTCTGGTTTGAGAACGGAGTGATGGGCTGTATTGTTCTGAATACACTTTGTCTAGCCCTGGACTCCCATGGTATCAGTGAGGAGATGGGAGAGGTCCTCTCTAAAGTTAACGATGTAAATTAAATAAATTTTATTTTGTTATATGTATTACATATAATCATTGATATTGTTACCATCTGATTTATAAAATACAAATCAGGGATTCAATATTTTTCAATCAAGAATTTTATTTGATATATTATTTTAGGCATGTATTTCTACTTGGGTTTTTAGTATCAAATAATTAGGATCTATTTTCAGTGTCTAACATGGATCTTTACAACAGAATTGGTTATAAAACTAGTTGGTTTACTTCCAACAGAGTTTTGGAAAACGAAATGGAACATTTTCGATGCGATAATCGTGATTGTGTCACTAGTTGAATTAAATCTTGAAAATGCTTCTTTCAATGTTTCCGGCTTGCGGTCTCTCAGAGTGGTATGTTGTTAATTGAATTAATTTGTAAGTAAAACTAATTATCATTAATTAAGTTAATTTGTAAGTAAAATCAATTATCATTAATTAAGTTAATTTGTAAATGAAGTTAAGTTTTGTTTTAAATTGAGTTAATTTGTAGATTAAATGGAGTATTGTTTAAAATGAAGATAATTTATAGATTAAGATAAGTTGTAAATTAAGTTAATTTTAACGACCTAATTGTTGCTTAATCGTGCTGTTCAATTTTTCGTAAATATTTGATTAATAACAACTAAAACAAAAGACTTTCACGTGATAACTTATAAATATGAATTACGGATACTGGTGGGGTAAATATGGGTAACGTTTCCACATTTATTTACTAATATATTTACTCAACTTTATGTATCAGCGCAATACATATTAACAAGCTCAAACTCTCTTTCAGCTGCGGGTATTTCGACTAGCAAAGTCGTGGAATACTATGAAGGCGCTGATCGACATCATAGCTGAGTCAATATCAGGTTTAATGTATTTATCCATAATATTGGGAGTTGTAATATTCACTGTCTCCGTAATTGGGATGAACCTATTCAAGAAGGAATATGAAAACTTCTTCAACAACGAGGCCCTCCACCCGGACAGCTATGGTAACATGCCGCGCTGGAATTACCAGGACTTCTACCATTCTTTTGTCTTAGTGTTCCGTATACTGTGTGGCGAATGGATTGAGCTACTTTGGGAGACTCTCCAAGTTACTCGGGGCCAGATGTGGCCTGTTCTGTTTTACTTGGGGGCTTTGGTTCTGGGCAACTTCCTTCTTCTCAATCTCTTCTTGGCGCTTCTGCTCAACGCATTTGGGTCGGAATCAATCAATGAGAAGAAAGAAACTGCGGCGGAAGTTGCTGAAAAAGAGGTATCTCTGACCGCTTTCTTAAAAAAGAAACTGTTTAACATAACAAAAAGTAAACACAAATTAGCTTCAGAGATAAGAATGTCAACACTAGATCTGACTGCTCTTGAGCGCATGAAGACCCCGTGCAGACATCGCCGAAACCCTGGTAACAGTGATAACCCTGGTAACAGTGATAACCCTGGTAACTGTGGTAACCACGGTAACTGTGGTAACCACGGTAACGGCGCATCTTCTGAGTACAGCGAGGGATCTGAATGTAAGATTATTATTATCAAACCTATTTTAATTTTATACCCCCTATTTTATGCCCCCCCCCCCCCCCTATTTTATTGCCCCCACCCCCCCCCCCCCCCCCCTATTTTATGCCCCCCCCCCCCTATTTTATGCCTCCCCTATTTTATGCCCCCCCCCCCCCCCCCCCCTTCTCATGTACTGCTCTCTTCACTAGACATGAATATGATAGACGTGGACGAACACGAGGGTAACGACCCCTACAGCTGTGACGACTGTTGCCAGTGCTGTAGTATCTGCTGTAGACCTCTCTGTGTTTGTTGCTCCATGTTCCGGGAAGCCACTAGACGGATTGTGCAACACAAAGTCTTCGATTGGACTATCCTTATCTTGATTATGGCTTCTAGTGTTACCCTCGCTTTTGAAGACTCCTCGTTGGAGACATCCCCTTCTCTGAAGCGGATAGTTGATACTCTCAATTTGTTTTATGTTGTAGTCTTTACTGTTGAGATGTGCCTCAAGCTCTTTACATTCGGCGTGATAAATTACTTCGAGTCCGCCTGGAACTGGATTGATTCACTTGTTGTCACGGTAAGTTATTCAACTTGTTGACGATTATAATAATTGTGAAATACATTTCATCCGGTACACTAAAACATCATATTAATACCATAACATTCCTCATATCTAATATACGCACATACACAATACTACATTTATTTTGTTGATTATAATGTTGTGATTGCAAAATGGATGGAAATATTTTAAGCGGCTAAAAGCCATTTCAAATCCTTGCTCCGTAACACGAATACTTTGTTTAAAGTTTAACTTGTACCGAAACGCTCTAATAAATACTATTTTCCCATACTTTACAACTCCGCAGATATCAATAGTCAGCACTGTAGCGAGTAATGCCAACATTGGTGGTTTGAAAGTTATCAGGTCTTTCAGAGCGTTAAGACCCTTGAGGGCCATATCTCGCTGGAAAGGGATGAGACTTTCAGTAAACGCCCTGATTTCCTCAATTCCCTCATTTGGAAATGTGTCTTTGGTTTGCTTGGTCCTTTGGCTTGTTTTCTGGTTTGTTTTGGGTTCGATAACTTGCAAAATGTATATTCAGCTATAAGTATAGCTCTATTTTGAATTGCAGTCACTTGTAAGCTTTTAAAAGCTAGATAACAAATCCGAACACAGTTTTGGCAACTTTCCACAAATTTCTGATTGAGATTTATGGGATTTTTATTTGATAACCAAAATAAACGAACATTTTCAGTATATTGGGAGTCCAGTTCTTTGGAAACACGTTTTACAAGTGTGTTGGAGATGATGGACCATTGGATAATAAGAGTACTGAAATCAAGAACAAGACTATGTGTATAGCACAATTTGGACAAGACGCGTGGCAGAATTCAAAAATTAACTTTGATAACACAATAATGGCATTCGTTGCTTTGTACCAAGTGGTTAGTAAACCCTTAATTCTTACTTGGAAGCTTCATTCTCAATATAATTATATGTTTAAATATCGTGTAACGACCATCCTTTCATTTCCAGGCTACATTTGAGGGCTGGATGGAGGTTATCAATATAATTATATGTATATTATATACGACCATCCTTTCATTTCCAGGCTACATTTGAGGGCTGGATGGAGGTTATGGATGATGCCATCGACTCCGTGGGCATAGATAAACAGCCATCTTTTGAGCACAACTTTAAAGCATACGTGTTCTTTTTGGTGTTCATATTTATTGGTTCCTTCTTCACGTTAAAACTGCTGGTTGGAGTTGTTATCGATAACTTCAACAGACTGAAAAAAGAGGTCAGTAGAAAATGTGGTAGATTAGTTAGTTATACATTTGAGTCTTCTGACCCCTGAGTGCACACAAATGAATGAGTGTTTGACAAGTGTTTCACAAGTGTTTCACAAGTGTTTCGCAAGTGTTTCGCGAGTGTTTCACAAGTGTTTCACAAGTGTTTCGCAAGTGTTTCACAAGTGTTTCACAAGTGTTTCGCAAGTGTTTCACAAGTGTTTCACAAGTGTTTCGCAAGTGTTTCACAAGTGTTTCACAAGTGTTTCGCAAGTGTTTCACAAGTGTTTCGCAAGTGTTTCACAAGTGTTTCGCAAGTGTTTCACAAGTGTTTCACAAGTGTTTCACAAGTGTTTCGCAAGTGTTTCACAAGTGTTTCGCAAGTGTTTCACAAGTGTTTCGCAAGTGTTTCACAAGTGTTTCGCAAGTGTTTCACAAGTGTTTCGCAAGTGTTTCACAAGTGTTTCACAAGTGTTTCACAAGTGTTTGACAAGTGTTTCACAAGTGTTTCACAAGTGTTTCACAAGTGTTTCACAAGTGTTTCACAAGTGTTTCACAAGTGTTTCACAAGTGTTTCGCAAGTGTTTCACAAGTGTTTCACAAGTGTTTCACAAGTGTTTCACAAGTGTTTCGCAAGTGTTTCACAAGTGTTTCACAAGTGTTTCACAAGTGTTTCACAAGTGTTTCACAAGTGTTTCACAAGTGTTTCACAAGTGTTTCACAAGTGTTTGACAAGTGTTTCACAAGTGTTTCACAAGTGTTTCACAAGTGTTTCGCAAGTGTTTCACAAGTGTTTCACAAGTGTTTCACAAGTGTTTCGCAAGTGTTTCACAAGTGTTTCGCAAGTGTTTCGCAAGTGTTTCACAAGTGTTTCGCAAGTGTTTCGCAAGTGTTTCACAAGTGTTTCACAAGTGTTTCACAAGTGTTTCGCAAGTGTTTCACAAGTGTTTCGCAAGTGTTTCACAAGTGTTTCGCAAGTGTTTCACAAGTGTTTCGCAAGTGTTTCACAAGTGTTTCACAAGTGTTTCACAAGTGTTTCGCAAGTGTTTCACAAGTGTTTCACAAGTGTTTCACAAGTGTTTCGCAAGTGTTTCACAAGTGTTTCACAAGTGTTTCACAAGTGTTTCACAAGTGTTTCACAAGTGTTTCACAAGTGTTTCACAAGTGTTTCGCAAGTGTTTCGCAAGTGTTTCACAAGTGTTTCGCAAGTGTTTCACAAGTGTTTCACAAGTGTTTCACAAGTGTTTCACAAGTGTTTCACAAGTGTTTCACAAGTGTTTCACAAGTGTTTCACAAGTGTTTCACAAGTGTTTCACAAGTGTTTCACAAGTGTTTCACAAGTGTTTCACAAGTGTTTCACAAGTGTTTCACAAGTGTTTCACAAGTGTTTCACAAGTGTTTCACAAGTGTTTCACAAGTGTTTCACAAGTGTTTGACAAGTGTTTCACAAGTGTTTCACAAGTGTTTCACAAGTGTTTCACAAGTGTTTCGCAAGTGTTTCGCAAGTGTTTCGCAAGTGTTTCACAAGTGTTTCACAAGTGTTTCACAAGTGTTTCACAAGTGTTTCACAAGTGTTTCACAAGTGTTTCGCAAGTGTTTCGCAAGTGTTTCGCAAGTGTTTCGCAAGTGTTTCACAAGTGTTTCACAAGTGTTTCACAAGTGTTTCACAAGTGTTTCACAAGTGTTTCACAAGTGTTTCACAAGTGTTTCACAAGTGTTTCACAAGTGTTTCACAAGTGTTTCACAAGTGTTTCACAAGTGTTTCACAAGTGTTTCACAAGTGTTTCACAAGTGTTTCACAAGTGTTTCACAAGTGTTTCACAAGTGTTTCACAAGTGTTTCACAAGTGTTTGACAAGTGTTTCACAAGTGTTTCACAAGTGTTTCACAAGTGTTTCACAAGTGTTTCGCAAGTGTTTCGCAAGTGTTTCGCAAGTGTTTCACAAGTGTTTCACAAGTGTTTCACAAGTGTTTCACAAGTGTTTCACAAGTGTTTCACAAGTGTTTCACAAGTGTTTCACAAGTGTTTGACAAGTGTTTCACAAGTGTTTCACAAGTGTTTCACAAGTGTTTCACAAGTGTTTCGCAAGTGTTTCGCAAGTGTTTCACAAGTGTTTCACAAGTGTTTCACAAGTGTTTCACAAGTGTTTCACAAGTGTTTCACAAGTGTTTCACAAGTGTTTCACAAGTGTTTCACAAGTGTTTCACAAGTGTTTCACAAGTGTTTCACAAGTGTTTCACAAGTGTTTGACAAGTGTTTCACAAGTGTTTCACAAGTGTTTCACAAGTGTTTCACAAGTGTTTCACAAGTGTTTGACAAGTGTTTCACAAGTGTTTCTCAAGTGTTTCACAAGTGTTTCACAAGTGTTTCACAAGTGTTTCACAAGTGTTTCACAAGTGTTTCACAAGTGTTTCACAAGTGTTTCACAAGTGTTTGACAAGTGTTTGACAAGTGTTTCTCAAGTGTTTCACAAGTGTTTCACAAGTGTTTGACAAGTGTTTCACAAGTGTTTCTCAAGTGTTTCACAAGTGTTTCACAAGTGTTTGACAAGTGTTTCACAAGTGTTTCACAAGTGTTTCACAAGTGTTTCACAAGTGTTTCACAAGTGTTTCACAAGTGTTTCACAAGTGTTTCACAAGTGTTTGACAAGTGTTTCACAAGTGTTTCACAAGTGTTTCAAGAGTGTTTCACAAGTGTTTCACAAGTGTTTGACAAGTGTTTCACAAGTGTTTCACAAGTGTTTCGCAAGTGTTTCGCAAGTGTTTCACAAGTGTTTCACAAGTGTTTCACAAGTGTTTCACAAGTGTTTCGCAAGTGTTTCACAAGTGTTTCACAAGTGTTTCACAAGTGTTTCACAAGTGTTTCGCAAGTGTTTCACAAGTGTTTCACAAGTGTTTCACAAGTGTTTCACAAGTGTTTCACAAGTGTTTCACAAGTGTTTCACAAGTGTTTCACAAGTGTTTCACAAGTGTTTCACAAGTGTTTCACAAGTGTTTCACAAGTGTTTCACAAGTGTTTCACAAGTGTTTCACAAGTGTTTCACAAGTGTTTCACAAGTGTTTCACAAGTGTTTCACAAGTGTTTCACAAGTGTTTCACAAGTGTTTCACAAGTGTTTCACAAGTGTTTCACAAGTGTTTCGCAAGTGTTTCGCAAGTGTTTCACAAGTGTTTCACAAGTGTTTCACAAGTGTTTCACAAGTGTTTCACAAGTGTCTCACAAGTGTTTCACAAGTGTTTCACAAGTGTTTCACAAGTGTTTCACAAGTGTTTCACAAGTGTTTCACAAGTGTCTCACAAGTGTCTCACAAGTGTTTCACAAGTGTTTCACAAGTGTTTCACAAGTGTTTCACAAGTGTTTCACAAGTGTTTGACAAGTGTTTCACAAGTGTTTGACAAGTGTTTCACAAGTGTTTGACAAGTGTTTGACAAGTGTTTGACAAGTGTTTGACAAGTGTTTCACAAGTGTTTGACAAGTGTTTCACAAGTGTTTGACAAGTGTTTGACAAGTGTTTGACAAGTGTTTGACAAGTGTTTGACAAGTGTTTGACAAGTGTTTCACAAGTGTTTCGCAAGTGTTTCACAAGTGTTTCACAAGTGTTTCACAAGTGTTTCGCAAGTGTTTCGCAAGTGTTTCACAAGTGTTTCACAAGTGTTTCACAAGTGTTTCACAAGTGTTTCGCAAGTGTTTCACAAGTGTTTCGCAAGTGTTTCACAAGTGTTTCACAAGTGTTTCACAAGTGCTTCACAAGTGTTTCACAAGTGTTTCACAAGTGTTTCACAAGTGTTTCACAACTATTTCAGTACGACGAGAAAGGACAATTAGGAGTACTTCTCACACCCACACAACGCCAATGGATGTCAACCTTCAGGAAAATGACCAAAACAAAGCCTATACGCATGACCACCCGTCCCACCAACCTGTTCATGAGGTTCTGTCACGACCTATCTGAAAACCAAAAGTTTGAGGTGGTGATAACGATTGTGATATTGTTGAACATGGTACAGATGGGTATGGAGCACGATGCAGCTAGTCCCGAGTTTAAAAAAGCTATGATGTATGCTAACTACATCTTCACTGCCATCTACACTGTTGAGGCTTCCCTTAAGATTATTGGTACCCACAAATTCTACTTCTACAAATCCTGGAACATCTTTGATTTTGTGATTGTGATGTGTGCTTGGCTTGGGATCGCTCTGGACAGTGTTGTGAAGAACTTTGTGATCGACCCCTCGATTCTCCGGAGTTTAAGACTTTTCCAGGTAGCCCGAATACTGAGAGTTATCCAAGTAGCAAAGGGGATCAGACGACTCCTCTACACCCTAGTGTGCTCTCTGCCTGCTCTAATAAACATAGGAACTTTGCTGCTGCTCATTGTTTATATCTACGCGGTGATGGGTGTGGCGATGTTTGGTCAAGTTAAGAGGCAGGGGGTTTTGAATGACCAGGTTTGGTTTTTTAAGTTTCGAACCTTTTTAAAGTTAATGGTAATTTTTGTTATAAACACTAGTAAATATTCGCGAAGTAGGGAACGAGGTATTTGTGTGCTGTCCCTTTACCTCTCGGCTTCTAACAGCTGCTCGATATTGACATTAAGTATAGTAGGTACCCAAGACGGGAATTTAAATTATCCATTTCTTTCGTCTTAATATACAGTCTAACTGTTTCCTAACATTTCATTTCACAGATGAACTTTGAACGAACACCTGCTGCAATAATCCTAATGATAAGGTTGGCCACATCAGCTGGCTGGAATGATGTGCTAGATGCCCTCATGGTCTCCCCGCCAGACTGCAGTGTTTCTACCGCAGACTCTCCCGGAGACTGTGGGTCCAAGGGTTTTGCTATTGTCTACATTTCTTCCTTCATTCTCATCGCTTTCTTGATCATGGTAAACATGTATATTGCTGTCATCCTAGACAATTTCAGCATTGCTCAACAAGATGACGAGGTCGGAGTAGACGTAGATGACATCAATCTCTTTTACGAGAAATGGAAGGTCTTTGATCCGAAAGCGACAGGATTTCTAAACGTGAGAGTGTTGCCAGACCTAGTGAGACAGCTATCACAACCTCTAGGGATACCCGGTGTTACAGAGGAGGAAGTGTTGCAGTTGGATATTCCACTTTATCCTTATGATAGGACCCATTGTATTGACGTTCTTCAGGCTCTTATCTCGCGAACTCTCGGTCCTAATAGCAATGCAGATGAGTTTGATATGATTAAATCGCTCATGTCTGAAAACTTTACAACAGCCTTCCCAATGCTTTCTATAGTGACCGTCAAAACAACCAGGGTACGATCGAGGTGTAGTGCGACGATTGTGCTGCAAAAAGCATTCAGGAGACATGTTAGTATGGACATTACCAACGCAACAATTGAAGATTTTGAGGGAGTGCAAGAAAATGAACATTTTGAGGGAGTGCAAGAAAATGAAACTGAATCTTTCGAGAAAATGCAAGAAACTCAATCTTTCGAGAGAGTGCAAGAAACTGAACATTTCGAGGGAGTGCAAGAAACTGAAACTGAATCTTTCGAGAAAATGCAAGAAACTGAACCTTTCGAGGGAGTGCAAGAAAGTAAAATTGAATCTTTCGAGGGAGTGCAAGAAACTGAACCTTTCAAGGAAGTGCAAGAAACTGAATCTTTCGAGGGAATGCAAGAAAATGAAAATAAACCTTTCGAAGGAGTGCAAGAAAGTAAAATTGAATCTTTCGAGGAAGTACAAGAAACTGAACCTTTCGAGAGAGTGCAAAAAACTGACAATGAATCTTTTGATCCTGAAATTAAACCTTTCCCTGGAGTGAAAAATCTAAGACTTATATTTGAACGCTGATTTCTAATCACTCCAGATGGCATTAGATTTAATTGCTTCTCAGACGAATTTTCAACTATGGGCAAATTTCTGATCATTGGGAGTAAGAGTTTGGAGCGTTTATCAAAGTAATAATAATATAAAGGGTTTATCTACTAGTACTACAAAACCTCCCTCCTTATAATTATATCATATATGCTTGATACTGAACGCCTTAAGCACATGGCCCCTAATAAAAATGTAATACAATGCTAAAAACGATTTAAAGTCGAGCGTGCAAAATCACTCTACAGTCGATCTTTGAGATTTTTCTGAAAGGGCCCATGATCGATAATTGAAATCTATTTCATTCGATGTATTATCGAACGCTGATTCCGAATCACCCCACATAAGTCATGACATAGAGTTAAAATACTCCCCTAGCGAGATATCGCCATCTATAACATATAAGGAGGTGATTAAGTCACGTGACAGTCGAGTGTAGAGTGATTAATCATCATCCATTTAAAGTATTCACTTGAGAACAAACGTAAAATGTAAAATAACTAATTCAATCATTATCCGGCTATATATAATAATCAAATTAACTTTCTGCAATTTATAAATTACTAAAAGTCTTTTTTTTATATTGTAAATGGATAACGTAAACGATTATGTTCACATAGCTATGAATTTATGAATACTGCAAGCGCGATCAGGGCTCTAGTTAGAGTTGAGAGCAAATAATTTTGTAAACGTGTGTACTTTACTGGACCGTGCTCAGCCTGTCATTCCTGCTGCTCACTGCTGCTAGTGAGTGCAGCTGCAGTGAGCAGCAGTTTCTTTGCACTTAGCCCCTCCTGTGTATGGAGTTTCTACGATACAGGGGAGCCGCGCACTCGTGCGCGGTGGGTCATACAACGTATGACATTAAAATACAAGTCAGTTAATGAACTATTTTAAAAATAACTTTCACTTCTGCTTTACAAATAGAATTTCTATTTAATTTTGAATTCATTAGTTCAGGCTCGGTGCCGTCATTCATCATTATAATGAGTGCATGGCACCGCGCTGATAGAAATTTATGATTGAGATGAATTTTCAAGTAGTATATTTTATGGTTGACGGATGTTACTCGTCTAAATTTCTTCGAAGTAGCGCGCGCCGCTTTCTTCTCGATGGCAAGTGCTACGAAGTAGCGCGCGCCGGGCCAGATCATTAGCAATGGTCAAGTATATGGTAAAAAGGGTTATAAGAGTAATTTTCATAAGCATATCTAATTTTCATGAGTTTATTATCGGATGTTTAAGTTTAACTATAATACTATGTTTATTATGATATTATTATTCATTGTAATATGGCAATAAAATTTAAATTTTGTTTTACCTAAATTTTGTTTTACTTAGCAGTGAATACGTGGGGACCTTATTGAAGCTTTTAAAGTTATTAATGGTTTAACCGATTACGGCTCTGATTTGTTCAAAGTGAGCAGATCTGGTCTTAATCTTGTATCATCCAACAGATGTTGTAAGAGTATGGCAAAGATTAGGAATCTCCAAAGTTCATTTCTTCCAGAGCGAGTTATTCCTTACTGGAACAAACTCCCTCCAGATGTTAAGAACTCGGTGACTGTTTTAAGTTTTAAGATTAAATTAGAAGGGTTTAAGAAAGATATGATTTCTAAGGATATTTCTAATAATTCACATTTTTGGAATGTTTCAAATGAAGTATTAGGGAGAATTGAAGGACCTAGCTATGTTAGTAATAAAGAGAAGCATAATGATTATCTTTATTTTCATCCTTTTGTGGCAAAAAAGCGATATGTAAATATTTATTCCACTGGGAAGTATGAATAGGGTTATCTTTTGGGGATGCTTTTTGAATTTATTTGAAAATTTTTTAAAATAAAGATGTAGTTAACAATTTATTAATTTTGGGGGTAAGATATTTATATTTTTCCATATAGTGATTTGATACTTTGTAGACATGTGTGATGATGTTATGTCACAATTTTTACTTTACTTTACTTTACTTTATAAGAATTCTTAACATCCACAGGGCATTCCAATAAGGTATAACTCTCTCAGATAGAAAATTGTAGGTTTACAACCTACCTGGACGCGCGCCGAGTTGGACTCGTCGACGGTCCTGTAATTGGAACAAATATTCTACGTTAAATAGAAAAGCTTTACGAAGATTCCTTAATTTAGAGCTTTTAATATTGCACTTTATCTTTGAAACAATATTCATACCGATCTACTAATTATATTTTTCCATAAATTTTTTTCATTATGAAGATAAGTGTGTCAAACAGTATTATATATACAATAAATTAATTCAAGTGTTGCAATTGGCAGAGCACAATACAGAGGTAACGGAAATTGTCCACTGCTACCAATATTATATAATATGAAATATCAAAAATCAAATATATACACATCTACTCCATCATAGGGGCAGGGATGAGGTTATAAGAGACTTCTGATAGTGGTTTCTCATATTTGCTGTCCATTTTTTTCCCTCTGTACCCTCGTAGAGCAATGAGTGTGGTTCTTAACATTGCGAATCTTATTCTTGTCCTCACATGTCTTACCACATCGCAATACCTCTCTTTCCTTTTCCTGGCGATGAGGTCTGCTACTCTATTTACAAATCGCTTACATTCTTTGGACATGCCTCCAGTTGTGAGAAATACAGCCGGGGTGAAAGTGGCCTTCTCTACGTTCAACACTCTCTCCAAGTACTCATCCTTCTTCTCCTTCTCGTTCTCTTCGTATACTTCTTGAAGAGTTTTGGTCCTGTTTGATAAGCAATTGGGGTGTGAAACCCTTATGTCAAGAAAGGTCTTATCAAATGGAGTCCAAACTCCTCTAGCAGATACGTCAAGCCGAGCTTGGTCACCTGTTATAGTCTTGGGGTTGAGGCAGTCACCCTCATTTACCTTCTGTAGCTGGGGTTCGACTTTCACATCATGACATACCTCACGAAGGAGATTTGCCAATGTGTCTCTGATGTTGTTGTGGGTCATTATCACGTAGCCCCCTAGCTTACAGGTGAGAAGGTGGTCAAGATCACTTGTTTTCCCACATCCACAAGTGATGGGAGTGTTTGGTATCCACCAGCTGTAGCGTAAGCAGACGCTGTCACGAAACTCCTCTTTGTTCAGAGTGTAGCCATACTGCTGAAGTGGCAATGTGTTAAGCCAACTGGATGCTCCCTTTTCTCTTGCTGCTAGTAGTGCTCTCTTGGAGGAGGTGCCACATCTTTCAGCTATAGCGTTAAACTTGGCTTGGAGCTCGGAGTTCTTCAAATTTTTGATCATTTCTTTCCCTGATTTGCTTAGGTTACTGGATGCAGTGTAACTTTCCTGTTGGTCCACTATTGCCTTTGTAAGCTCGGTGGTGAGTAGCTTGGAAGCTGTGTACGCAGCGTGGCATTCCTCGTGGGGTTTACCAATGCCCAATCCTCCCAATCTTATTGGTAGACTTAACACGTCCCTCTCTAAGTCTGAGATCTCCCTGCCCAGCATCTTTGGCAGAAGCTTTTGTCTTATCTCATGTTCTAGCGGCTCCATGGCTTCAGAGATGTTAGGAACAGTCCTTTGAACAAACTTCCATCTGTGTTGGATGCCAGAGATGTAGGCTGAGTAGGCTGCTTGAGGCTCAGATTCTGCAATATCAGCTAGCATCTTGATGTCGTTACACCACCCTTGGACCTTATCGGAAATGTACTGATCTTTGACACCTGTATTGCCAAGTACTGCACCAAGATGCCGTGTGCCTGATGTTATTTGCATATTGAACTCTCCAAACAATGCCTTGGCCTGGTCGATCATCTGTGGGTCCTTTACTACTAAAATGCTCTTAGATGGGTTAGGAAAATAACCATACTTAGGTCCAACTTGGAGCAACTCCTTCCACCACTTATACACAGCCTCCAATTTCCCACCAGCAGCACTATCATCTGCAAACCACACCTGTTTGACGATGTTTCTCAGGTGGTCAATAAATGGCTTGGTGCTAAGAGCATATCCACCAGTAGCAATATTGTCTCCTTGAGTGAAACCTTCACTGCTCTTGATGATCACTCCCTCACTATTAGCTACATAGAGGTCTGTTGGTTCCCTATAGGTGTTTTCGAAGTATTTGGCAAGCGGTGGGCAAACATACTGCATGTTGTTGGTAGCAGCGGTCCTGTTGAGAGCGTTGAATGCGTTGGAAGCATCCACTAGCAAAATGGCTTCTGTTTCCTCGTTATTATGAACCTCTGCCATAGCGTGTATTGCTGCTTCAATTCCCCCTTCGTGACCTGCACATGTTTGAAGTGGCCCTGCATCCTTCTGAACATCTTTCTTTAACACCATCATCACACACTTCCCGATAATCCGTCTCAATATCTCACCAATACCAATTGGCCTAAGGCCTGGGCATTTATCTAGAGGAACCAGTCTACCAGCTGTAAGCACTGCTATTGATTGGAAGTTAACATCTTCAGTACATATGCGCCTGGCTAATCTGGCAATTGCTTCAGCAAAAAGATCCTGAGATTTACTAAAAGCACAGCAGCATAAGATGTGTTGCCAGCACTCTGAGTCTACTAGTGTTGGGCCACCTGAGCCTGATGTCAGCTTAGCAGCCTTTTTCACTAACTTTGAGTCAATGGCTTCAAATATAACGCGCCCCCTCCCCTAATCATGCCCCTCCCTAAAATTGAACAAATTAGGTGATTTTATAGGATACGCCGATAAAATCTCTAAAAAAGTGTATATCTAGAGCAAAACGGGCAGTTTTGTTAGTACTTTAGTTAAGTTTTCGAAATTGTCCCACATTCAAACGACGATTTGGCGCCCCCCGGCCCCCTAAGACGGCGCACCCCCGCACAGCGGGGTCAGCGGAGCCCTTTGTTACGCCACTGTCTCCAATATTTTTCGATTTTCATCATCATAATTAATCACATTTAATGCAGGTTGTATAATCATGTCATCAGACAACCAGGACAAGATTGTCAACTTTCAGAGAAATGTTCTGATAGCCAGAGCTAAGGTTGATAACAAGAACTTAAATGGCACTGGAATAGTATCAGATAGAATTCGATCAAAAAAGTCTTCATGTGAGCCTGTGGAAACAGGCAAAATCAGATCAAAGAAGAAGTCTGAGGATATAATTTCTAGTGTAAAGGGTTCAATGACTGATAATGATCAATCAATGCCTATCTTAAAGGAGGTTCCTCGCGAAAATAACTTACCTAGCAAAACTTCCTCAACAAAAAAGAAGACAAATTCCTCTAATGATGATTGCAGTGGCAAATCCTTTCGACAAACAGTAGAGGTATCTCCAACCAGCAGATCACCTGATCAAAAGAAACGGAAACGCTTTAATGTTTTAGCTCATTCAGAATATCATGGCAAGTCCGATGAGAACTCAAAAGTATTACTTGAAACTAATTTAGTGGCTAATGTGCTTCAACAGTACAAATCAGAAAAACCACCTATACTAGATTCCCTAAAGGTATCCCTAAGCAGTTCTTCAGAGATGAGTTTGGTGATCCCAAATCAGCCTACTGATTATAACCAAGAATTGCAAGAACTAGCTAAGCAGCTCGCTTCAGAGACCCAGTCTTACACTTTATCTCCAATGCAATCAAAAATGAGCTATGGTCAATCAAGGTATTCAAGACCGCAGCAAGTTCAAGACAATCATAGCTATAATCATCATGAAATCTCAAGCTTTGGAGATTTGGAACTATCATATCAGTTCTTCAATCAAAATAATGCTTTTCCCGAACTTATGTCACACAACTATCCTCCTGGAATGGGACCACCTGGATTAGGGCCTCCTGGATTGCAACCTCCTGGATTAGGGCCTCCTGGATTACGACCTCCTGGATTAGGGCCTCCTGGATTAGGACCACTTGGATTAGGACCTCCTGGATTAGGACCACCTGAATTAGAACCACTTGGATTACGACCTCCTGAATTAGGGCCTCCTGAATTAGGACCTCCTGTGTTTGAAACACCCCAATTAGGACCAATAGGATTAAGACCAACTCAAGTGAAGACTTCAGTTCTTCCATCATTCAATTCACACATACAAAACCGAGAGGGTAGTATAGACACACAGGTCGATGTTTGCTCAAATAGGTCTGCTGTCAGTAACTTTTTGAAGTATTCTAATTCAGAACTACTCACTCCAGCCTACAAACCTACATTTTTCAATGATGAAACATGTAGTACTGAAATATCAGATTCTTTGAATAATCCTTACAGTTTTATTGGGAAACATCCCTCGTTGACTATGAAGTCTCGTGACAAGTTATACGATGAGGTCAGAGCATCTTCTACTCACAGAGACTGTGATGGTGAAGTTGGAGCAATTCTCATGGGCGGAAATCAAAATAAGCCGAAAGTGAATAATCCTTACAGTTTTATCGGGAAACATCCCTCGTTGACTATGAAATCTCGTGACAAGTTATACGATGAGGTCAGAGCATCTTCTACTCGCACAGACTCTGATGGTGAAGTTGGAGCAATTCTCATGGGCGGAAATCAAAATAAGCCGAAAGTTTCTCCCTACAGTGTCTCACCAGACTATAAATTAGGTCAGCCTTATAGAACTGCAAGTGGTGATTTGAGCAACAGAGGTGAAGTCAGATCGCAGAAATATCCTACCTCTGACAAACTCGATCATAACCCAAAAAGTACCATTCCTTGTTTCAGTCAGCTTAAAAGCTCCTCGGTACATCAGGTGGGCTATTTTATTTATTTATCTCATTTGTTTAATTAGTATTAACAACATTAGATGATGCATAGTGAAAAATTAAACCAGATTGAATCATACTCTCTATTTATGTATATAAAATATATCTTGATGTTTGGTCCATTTTTTCACCAAACCCTAAATTACAGCAATGAGCCTATAAGCCATATGTTGATTGAACTAAAATGTGTGCAAAAAAAGACCAGGTTCCATCAAGGGATAGTAGGGGCAGAGGAAAGCCTAGAAGTAGTAGAATTGTAGAGGATACAGTGAGTTCAGCAAAGCATTGCCATCAAAACACTAACTCTTGTTTTCAATTTGCCTGTGCTGATGCTTGTTGCATAAAGACCCCCTTGCCCCCGGCCCCCTGCCGACCCCCCTCGGCCCCCTGCCCCCACCCCCCCCCCCCCGCCTGCCGTGAATGTATTGATCTTACTGTACCTAGTAATGTGCAAATCTCACTTTAAAGCATGATATGATTGCAAGTTTATGAAATCGAATAATTCTGATCATTATATCACATCTAACATGAAATAAAATTGTGTAGAATTGATAAACAAAGTGATTTTATCAGGCTTGATCGTCATACGCATTGTGTAATATTGTGTGTATTATGTGTGTACACTGCAACTGGTGATGAACCTTTCTATTAGCTGTTCTTCTCTGACGAATATTTTTGGGGCTGAAAATATAACTTGTAAAGCTCTTGGATTATAGTTACATAAATTTTACTTTCCGCAATCCCATGTACCACAAGTAGTCATGAAACTAAACAGCGAACTAAGTTCCTTGTTACCATGGTTACTACTCCATCATTTGAAACTAAAACTAACAATTTCAGTACCAAACACCACCTGGATCAAGTAGCAACAACCGCGTGCAGGACAGTCACTGGTCCCCAGGATCCGGGGTGCTATCAGACAATATACATACTTCTCCACTATCAGACAGCGGGACCAGTAGTCCAGCCGGGAGAGCAGGTAGAGCAGGTCGATACTCTTCTCCCTTGAATAGAGCAGGTCGACACTCCTCTCCTTCAAATAGAGGCAGATACACTGGCAAACCCCGATCTAGCAACTCTTCTCCCATTACTGTAATTCATTATTGAAGCTCTAATTTCTTAATCATTGAGTCCTGTTTTTGGAGAATGGAGACGCTGCAAATCTAATGTTTCAAATGCAGTGAATTCTACTTTTTAAATTCTCAATTTTTATAGATATTATTATTTCTTTTCCATATATTATAGTAGATTTTGAGACTATATTCTAAATGTTTATGAGAGAGAAGTGAGGATTTCTAAAGCTCTGTCTGGTTTTCAGAGAGAAGTGAAGATTTCTAAAGCTCTGTCTGGAATATGTAGACACAAACACGGAACAGAGACTCTCATGATGTTAGAAGGCGGGTACTTCTCTGTGGAGGAAATACTGAACACCTCCCGATTCAAACAGCTGTCCGTTACACAAGCTGAAGTGGAGGACATTGTAAAGAGCAATGACAAACAGAGGTTTAGTTTGAAGGAGTTGGAGGGAAACCTGCTGATATGTGCCAACCAAGGGCACTCTTTTGAAGTAAGTCTTTGATATCATAGCATTAGTAGTAACCAGGTAACCAGGTAACCAGGTAACCAGGTAACCAGGTAACTAGGCAACCAGGTAACCAGGTAACTAGGCAACCAGGCAACCAGGCAACCAGGGCACTCTTTTGAAGTAGGTCTTTAATATCATAGCAGTAGTAGTAACCAGGTAACCAGGTAACCAGGTAACTAGGCAACCAGGCAACCAGGCAACCAGGTAACCAGGTAACTAGGCAACCAGGCAACCAGGCAACCAGGTAACTAGGCAACCAGGTAACCAGGTAACTAGGCAACCAGGCAACCAGGCAACCAGGGCACTCTTTTGAAGTAAGTCTTTGATATCATAGCAGTTGTAGTAAGTAGCAGTGAACACAATTTAATAAATATAAGGAGGGTTCCTATGTAAGAAGTGGTGGACATTTACTTAGAAAAATCACATTAAGAAGTTCAAGTTGATTGGGTGACATCTGTCCGACAGCGACATCTGTCCGACAGCTACAGCCGAATTAGGGATTTCGGACAGATGTCGCTGTCGGACAGGAGTCGTGTTACCATCTTGAATGGTTGAATAGAACGACAACGGTCGTATCGAGACGGTCCTGGTTCTTTAAGCTCGGAAATGTGTACGTTATTGTGCGTTTATTCGATTAGACGTGGAAAGAAGGACCTCCAATTTACAGTTCAGTAGTTACCCAGAGACACTTGACTGATATATCACAAAGAAGAGGTGTTGCTGACCTGAGAAAATAGTGACTCTTATCTTATTGCCATTACATCTCCAGTTTTTAATGAAGGATGATGATCAGATGCGTGTTCAGATCACACGTCTTGGAAACATGATGATTTTGAAGACAAACTTAAGGGGGATCGGGGGGTACCCCCGGGGGAGCCTTTCTTCCGATTAAATATTTGATAAACGTAGCACACATGTTTACTAAGTAAATTATCAATTAAATGTTTATATTTTAGGTTCAAGGTTTAGAACTGGAGAGAATAGAGTCGGCAGATGGGTACACTGGTATTGTTCATGGAACCTACGACGCAGCCTGGGAGTCTATTAGAAGAAAGGTATGCTCGTTACTTAATTAGGTTACTGAGTAATGTAATCTGGTCACTAATACTAATGTAATCTGGTCACTAATACTAAGTAATTAGGTTACTGACTAATGTAATCTGGTCACTAATACTAAGTAATCTGGTCACTAATACTAAGTAATTAGGTTACTGACTACGGAGTAATGTAATCTGGTCACTAATACTAAGTAATTAGGTTACTGACTACTGAGTAATATAATCTGGTCACAAATACTAAGTAATTAGTTATGTATATTATATATAATATTATAATATGATATAGTGACCCTAATGCGAGTGTGTTTCAGGGTCTCAGTAAGATGAACAGGACCCACATCCACTTTGCTGTGGGACTGCCTTCTAACCGTCAGGTTATTAGCGGAATGAGGGGTGACTGTCAGGTTGTTATTTATATAGACATGTCTGCTGCTATCAAAGGTGGGAGTTTCATTAACATCTTTATTTTTAGTTTGGTTAATAGATTAATCTGTTAACAATATTAAGCTTCAATTTATATCTACTACTGACCAGTTTATTTATTACTTCTAAATTAATTTAGTAAATAAATAAATAATAAATTAATTTAGTAAATAATGATAATAACATCAAACCTCTAACAGACGGGTTACAGTTCTACAAATCTAAAAATAACGTTATTCTCTGCTCTGGTAACGAGGATGGGTTACTACCTACAAAATACTTTACTTCTGTTATACGAATAAAAGGACAGAGACAGTGTAAGTTAACAGTTTTAGTGGTATTTTATCCTAATATTTAGGAGATCGAGTCAGCAATTCCCGCGAGTGATTAAAGTACGGATTAAAGTACTTCAAATCATTAATTCGTACAATACGACTACGTCAGTAAACTTCTAGGATTTAACTAACCAATCAGAGAGCTGTATTCTAGTCACGTGACACAACTAATCATCGTGTACGTTTTCAGTGTTGCACGAAACAAGACCGGTGGGATTTGACCCTGAACAGTCAGCAAGTTGTCATGGTAACAATCCTGGTACTAGTAATAGTGAAGCAGACCGCTCTAACAACTGGAGGAAAACTGCTTAGCTTTTAATGACCAATCAGACAGCTGTATTCTAAACACTGCACATGATACTGATCAACCAATCAAAGAGCCCTATTTTAGGCGCGTGTTGATGAACTCACCCGGATTGGCAATTTCAAGTTTATGTTATGTCTCTAAGAGGATATAGTATAATTTGAATATATTATTGTTGTGCCTGTTGTTATGTATGTATGGAAGTTTATTTGTTGTGCGACTTAGGAAAATTTTATAGGTTTTTATGCGTAAGATTTTCTATTTCTTGGGTACGTAATACCCTATTTCTTGGGTACGTAATATATATATATAATATAATAATACTTTATCATATTATATAATATTTTAATTGTTACATTTTCAAATTTTACATTGAACTTCAAGTTGGAATAAGTATGCAAATAATTATCAATCAAATATTTATACGTATTTATACGTATTAACATGTTTATTTTATAGGTTATCTAGTTACACTCACAACCCAGTGAGCTTGCAAACTGACTAGTAGTAAACTATAGAAAGAGGATAATATATTTTGTGCTCTGTTTTTATTGAAGCTGATGCAGAGTTAGTACTGCTATATTTACGTTATCAGAATAAGATATTGTTTATTGTAATTTAATGTTTTTTAATAGAGGAGAGTGGGTGAGGGGGGGGGGGGGGGGGGGGGGGGGGTGCAGGTGGGTGGGGGTGAGGGGGTTCAGTATTTGCTTAAATCGCTAGTTGGATAAGTTTTTTTTTCAATAATCAATGCATATTATTTTATTGAAGTGATTATTAGTAGAACGTAAAGTACTTGACTAGTTGAATATTAGAAAACGTACTATAATAAGTTTTACTCCCAGCTAAACCATCTTACTGTTCTATCAATTGTTGTTCGAAATATTATGCAAGTTTAAGAACGGTTTTGTTCTGATTGCAAACAATTCCCCAATTTTATATCAATATAAATATTTTTCTTTGTAGACATGTAACAGATGAGCTGTTCAGCGTAGTTCCTAACTACAACTAACCAATCAGAGGGCTGGATTCTAGTCACGTGATACTGATCAACCAATCAAAGAGCTGTATTGCTACTCCTAGATAATGTGGTTTCCGTGGAGTGACTCTATCAAAACCAGACTATGTCGCTTTCTTCTTCACGTGAGTTTATATCCTTGTAACTGTGACACTAACAACTAATCCTTGTAACTGTGACACTAACAACCAATCCTTGTAACTGTGACACTAACAACCAATCCTTGTAACTGTGACACTAACAACCAATCCTTGTAACTGTGACACAACATCCAATCCTTGTAACTGTGACACAACATCGAATCCTTGTAACTGTGACACAACATCGAATCCTTGTAACTGTGACACTAACAACCAATCCTTGTAACTGTGACACAACATCCAATCCTTGTAACTGTGACACTAACAACCAATCCTTGTAACTGTGACACTAACAACCAATCCTTGTAATTGTGACACTAACAACCAATCCTTGTAACTGTGACACTAACAACCAATCCTTGTAACTGTGACACTAACAACCAATCCTTGTAACTGTGACACAACATCCAATCCTTGTAACTGTGACACAACATCGAATCCTTGTAACTGTGACACAACATCGAATCCTTGTAACTGTGACACTAACAACCAATCCTTGTAACTGTGACACAACATCCAATCCTTGTAACTGTGACACTAACAACCAATCCTTGTAACTGTGACACTAACAACCAATCCTTGTAATTGTGACACTAACAACCAATCCTTGTAACTGTGACACTAACAACCAATCCTTGTAACTGTGACACTAACAACCAATCCTTGTAACTGTGACACTAACAACCAATCCTTGTAACTGTGACACTAACAACCAATCCTTGTAACTGTGACACTAACAACCAATCCTTGTAACTGTGACACTAACAACCAATCCTTGTAACTGTGACACAACATCCAATCCTTGTAACTGTGACACTAACAACCAATCCTTGTAACCTTGACACTAACAACCAATCCTTGTAACTGTGACACTAACAACCAATCCTTGTAACTGTGACACTAACAACCAATCCTTGTAACTGTGACACTAACAACCAATCCTTGTAACTGTGACACTAACAACCAATCCTTGTAACTGTGACACTAACAACCAATCCTTGTAACTGTGACACTAACATCCAATCCTTGTAACTGTGACACAACATCCAATCCTTGTAACTGTGACACTAACAACCAATCCTTGTAACTGTGACACTAACAACCAATCCTTGTAACCTTGACACTAACAACCAATCCTTGTAACTGTGACACTAACAACCAATCCTTGTAACTGTGACACTAACAACCAATCCTTGTAACTGTGACACTAACAACCAATCCTTGTAACTGTGACACTAACAACCAATCCTTGTAACTGTGACACTAACAACCAATCCTTGTAACTGTGACACAACATCCAATCCTTGTAACTGTGACACTAACAACCAATCCTTGTAACCTTGACACTAACAACCAATCCTTGTAACTGTGACACTAACAACCAATCCTTGTAACCTTGACACTAACAACCAATCCTTGTAACTGTGACACTAACAACCAATCCTTGTAACTGTGACACTAACAACCAATCCTTGTAACTGTGACACTAACAACCAATCCTTGTAACTGTGACACTAACAACCAATCCTTGTAACTGTGACACTAACAACCAATCCTTGTAACTGTGACACTAACAACCAATCCTTGTAACTGTGACACTAACAACCAATCCTTGTAACTGTGACACTAACAACCAATCCTTGTAACTGTGACACTAACAACCAATCCTTGTAACTGTGACACTAACAACCAATCCTTGTAACTGTGACACTAACAACCAATCCTTATTCAGCACTACATTGGTCACTATCTAGAGGAGAAGCTATCGTTAGATCAGATGAGTATAGAACTGTACGCTGGTAAAGGAACTATACACAACGTCGCACTCAACACTGAGACTCTTAACGATTTACTCGACCAGCTCAACCTACCTTTCGAGATAACTGAGGGTTTTATTGGGTAAGTTAACAGCTCAACCTACCTTTCGAGATTACTGAGGGCTTTATTGGGTAAGTTAACAGCTCAACCTACCTTTCGAGATAACTGAGGGCTTTATTGGGTAAGTTAACAGCTCAACCTACCTTTCGAGATAACTGAGGGCTTTATTGGGTAAATTAACAGCTCAACTTACCTTTCGAGATAACTGAGGGCTTTATTTGGGTAAGTTAACAGCTCAACCTACCTTTCGAGATAACTGAGGGCTTTATTGGGTAAATTAACAGCTCAACTTACCTTTCGAGATAACTGGGGGCTCTATTGGGTAAGTTAACAGCCAATCAGACTCTTGTATCCTGCCCTAGTGTTGCTTCAATTAAAGAAGGAGTAGTTTATTTTAATCACGACTTATAATGATAATTGTATTTTCATAATATTATGTTGTGTGACAATCTAATGTCAACACTCAACAGGAATTTTGAATTCTATTTATTCACCATGATTCCGCATGATTACGGTTAAATAATGGGATTAACTAAATAAAGGTGGTTACTATGGTAACTAAATATAATTGTAGTCACGTGACACTACTTGAACAGGCGTGTTTCAATAGACGTGCCCTGGCAAGCCCTGGTGTCGAGCAGCACTAACGTGGAGGTGGAGGGGCTGGAGATAACAGTGCAACCTAAACACTACTGTGCAACTGCAACAACCAGCATGATGGACTCTGTAAGAAACATGACATCCAGGTGAGAGAGCAGCCAATCAGTGACTTTTATTCTAGTTACGATATATTATATATCAGACATCTGTTTCTAAAGAGGAATCTTTATAGTGGCCTCTAAAATTGTTTTCTTGAGGAATAAACTAACCAACCTTGACTACTAAGTAAAACAAATCACCTGTTTGAGAATATACAGAATGTAGAATATCTGTATTCCCTGGCCGCTAAATCACGTGACTCCACGTGACTCCCCCAGTTTAACCCCACGTGATCACGTGACTCCCCCAGTCTAACCCCACGTGATCACGTGACTCCCCCAGTCTAACCCCACGTGATCACGTGACTCCCCCAGTCTCACCCCACGTGACTCCCCCAGTATAACCCCACGTGATCACGTGACTCCCAGTCTAACCCCACGTGATCACGTGATCACGTGTTTGAGAATATACAGAATGTAGAATATCTGTATTCCCTGGCCGCTAAATCACGTGACCCCACGTGACTCCCCCAGTCTAACCCCACGTGACCCCACGTGACTCCCCCAGTCTAACCCCACGTGACCCCACGTGACTCCCTCAGTCTAACCCCACGTGACTCCCCCAGTCTAACCCCACGTGACCACGTGACTCCCCCAGTCTAACCCCACGTGATCACGTGATTCCCCCAGTCTAACCCCACGTGATCATGTGACTCCCTCAGTCTAACCCCACGTGACCACGTGACTCCCCCAGTCTAACCCCACGTGATCACGTGATTCCCCCAGTCTAACCCCACGTGATCACGTGACTCCCTCAGTCTAACCCCACGTGATCACGTGACTCCCCCAGTCTAACCCCACGTGATCACGTGACTCCCCCAGTCTAACCCCACGTGCTCACGTGACTCCCCCAGTCTAACCCCACGTGATCAAGTGACTCCACAGTCTAACCCCACGTGATCACGTGACTCCCTCAGTCTAACCCCACGTGATCACGTGACTCCCCCAGTCTAACCCCACGTGATCACGTGACTCCCCAGTCTAACCCCACGTGCTCACGTGACTCCCCCAGTCTAACCCCACGTGATCAAGTGACTCCCCAGTCTAACCCCACGTGATCACGTGACTCCCTCAGTCTAACCCCACGTGATCACGTGACTCCCCCAGTCTAACCCCACGTGATCACGTGACTCCCCCAGTCTGACCCCACGTGATCACGTGACTCCCCCAGTCTAACCCCACGTGATCACGTGACTCCCCCAGTCTAACCCCACGTGATCACGTGACTCCCCCAGTCTAACCCCACGTGATCACGTGACTCCCCCAGTCTAACCCCACGTGATCACGTGACTCCCCCAGTCTCACCCCACGTGACTCCCCCAGTATAACCCCACGTGATCACGTGACTCCCAGTCTAACCCCACGTGATCACGTGATCACGTGTTTGAGAATATACAGAATGTAGAATATCTGTATTCCCTGGCCGCTAAATCACGTGACCCCACGTGACTCCCCCAGTCTAACCCCACGTGACCCCACGTGACTCCCCCAGTCTAACCCCACGTGACCCCACGTGACTCCCTCAGTCTAACCCCACGTGACTCCCCCAGTCTAACCCCACGTGACCACGTGACTCCCCCAGTCTAACCCCACGTGATCACGTGATTCCCCCAGTCTAACCCCACGTGATCATGTGACTCCCTCAGTCTAACCCCACGTGACCACGTGACTCCCCCAGTCTAACCCCACGTGATCACGTGATTCCCCCAGTCTAACCCCACGTGATCACGTGACTCCCTCAGTCTAACCCCACGTGATCACGTGACTCCCCCAGTCTAACCCCACGTGATCACGTGACTCCCCCAGTCTAACCCCACGTGACTCCCCCAGTCTAACCCCACGTGATCACGTGACTCCCCCAGTCTAACCCCACGTGATCACGTGACTCCCCCAGTCTAACCCCACGTGATCACGTGACTCCCTCAGTCTAACCCCACGTGATCACGTGACTCCCCCAGTCTAACCCCACGTGATCACGTGACTCCCCCAGTCTAACCCCACGTGATCACGTGACTCCCCAGTCTAACCCCACGTGCTCACGTGACTCCCCCAGTCTAACCCCACGTGATCAAGTGACTCCACAGTCTAACCCCACGTGATCACGTGACTCCCTCAGTCTAACCCCACGTGATCAAGTGACTCCCCAGTCTAACCCCACGTGATCACGTGACTCCCTCAGTCTAACCCCACGTGATCACGTGACTCCCCCAGTCTAACCCCACGTGATCACGTGACTCCCCCAGTCTGACCCCACGTGATCACGTGACTCCCCCAGTCTAACCCCACGTGATCACGTGACTCCCCCAGTCTAACCCCACGTGATCACGTGACTCCCCCAGTCTAACCCCACGTGATCACGTGACTCCCCCAGTCTAACCCCACGTGATCACGTGACTCCCCCAGTCTAACCCCACGTGATCACGTGACTCCCCCAGTCTAACCCCACGTGATCACGTGACTCCCCCAGTCTAACCCCACGTGATCACGTGACCCCCAGTCTAACCCCACGTGATCACGTGACTTTCCCAGTCTGGTTCTAGCACAGCATGTTATGGAGGAGGAGGTGGACACTAAACTAGAGGGACTGGAAGCGTTCGCTCACATGATAGAGAGCGTGCTGTCACGTGTTACTTGCTCCTTCAGCAACACTGCTATTAGACTGCAGAGCAGAGACACTTCTATTGGGGTTGGCCTGGAACTTGTTATTGATAAGTTAGTCTTTAATTATAATTATTAAATTTTACAAGATTTATAAATTTTTTAAAAATAGGTTTATTTTTAACAATGAAGGAACTGGTTTACATCAATATATTAATAATATGCTAATAATAAGATAATAATATGAGGATAATAACAACTCCCCCCAGGATAAACTATTTTGACGAGAGAGAGCAGGAAGTAACCTCAGTATTAGAAGAGGACGCCAACAAGTACATCCCCACTTCTATTGCTCACAAAGTGATCTTGTGGAGTGGCATTTCCATCAGAGTGTCTGAGACTTCTCCTACTCCGCTCTTTTCTTATTTTAACGGTATTATATAGTTCTTCTCCTACTCCGCTCTTTTCTTATTTTAACAGTATCATATAGTTCTTCTCTTACTCCTCTCTTTTCTTATTTTAACGGTATTATATAGTTCTTCTCCTACTCCTCTCTTTTCTTATTTTAACGGTATTATATAGTTCTTCTCCTACTCCTCTCTTTTCTTATTTTAACGGTATTATATAGTTCTTCTCCTACTCCTCTCTTTTCTTATTTTAACGGTATTATATAGTTCTTCTCCTACTCCTCTCTTTTCTTATTTTAACGGTATTATATAGTTCTTCTCCTACTCCTCTCTTTTCTTATTTTAACAGTATCATATAGTTCTTCTCCTACTCCTCTCTTTTCTTATTTTAACGGTATTATATAGTTCTTCTCCTACTCCTCTCTTTTCTTATTTTAACGGTATTATATAGTTCTTCTCCTACTCCTCTCTTTTCTTATTTTAACGGTATTATATAGTTCTTCTCCTACTCCTCTCTTTTCTTATTTTAACGGTATTATATTTGACCAAAACCCATAATCATGGGTAGAGTGTACCGCTGCCAGTGTCTCTCTTTTCCAAACAAAAGGAAATGATATTAATTTGAGGAACAGTCCGCTAATGCAAATTGATACCGAGAATGAAATCGGTCGCTCGCTTTTTCAAATCAATAAGCTTTATTACAATTCGTAAGCCGTGATCGAATGGAAAAAGCGAGCGACCGATTTCATTCTCGGTATCAATTTGCATTAGCGGACTGTTCCTCAAATTAATATCATTTCCTTTTGTTTGGAAAAGAGAGACACTGGCAGCGGTACACTCTACCCATGATTATGGGTTTTGGTCAAATATCATCTCTTTTTGATTATAATGTCAGGATAATTTACACAGCTAGTCGAAACTTCATTAACAAGGAGGTAATTTCGACGATTTCGAAATTCTGCCTTTGAAAACGTTTCCTTGTGTTTAGTTAGGTATTTCTGTCGATAACCGACTGAATATGGCACTTTTTACTCATTCAAGTTGGCATTAAATTCATATATAATGCCATTTAAATATCGTGGAAAGCAGAATATATTCGAAATCACGAATGAGCAAATTTCTCACCTTTCGCACGTGCAAACTTTGAGCGGACGTCGCGTGCGCATACAATATGGAATCACCGTACATTTTTGCATAGTGGTATTTAATATATAGTTTGATAAGCATGCAAAGTTTCAGAAGATTTCAAAAAGAACTTGGATCACAACGGGACTCCAAAGTTGATAAAAATCGTGAAAATCAAAATTTTTAGCGATTTTAGCTATTTTAAATGAATTTGGGCGTGTCCCCACGTGTGCAACTTTTCGATTTTTAACTTTAAAACTAGCCTATAACACAATTTACACCTTTAAGAAGCAAAATTGAGCTCCACAACCCAAGGGATGGCCCAACACCAGAGAATACTAATTCACAACTTTTGTGTTTTTATAAAATTATTCTTCAAAAAAGCACTAACTTCAATAGCAAATATCTTTATGAAGGAGCAAGGTAGGAAACTATTCCGGTAGATTTTCGGAATGCTTGAACAATTATCTAAGGTGAAAATGTCCTCAGATTTTGAATAAAATTACTCTATAATAGTGTAAAATCGATTTAAAAAGTTGTTACTTTGTCAAAAGTCAAGTTTTAAAAACACTTAACTTGATGACGTCATCAAGTGATGATGATGACGTTAAATTATTTTTCAATACAATGTAAACTAAAGCTTAAACAATTACCTTTAAAACCTGTGGTTCGAGATGACTGTATCGTTTATACTTTTGAATCTACGGACACTTAAATGTAGGCTACAATTGACTGCAAAAAGCGTCTATACATATATAGTATATATATATCTTTGGCTATTTATTAGTATATATATATATATATATATATCTTCACGACAATCTGTTGTAAAACAGGGGTTCCAGAAAACCCACTTCCCGATACTCCTGAAACATGACTTTTTTTTACAGTCGATTTGGACAAGGTCTAGATGCTCTGCAAAGTTTCAGATCTCTAACTCAATTTTAACATGGTTTTTAAGGCACCTGAATATGGCGATTTTGGGTTTTTTACCTAATTTCGTATAACATGCTGGCGCGTATTTTGCGCAAATTTCTTAAAAACCTCCATATAACTATTTCTTATTCCTGTCATCTTCAACATTGAATTAGAATGTTTTGAACTTAAATGTACCTGCTGAACTACTTTCGATGAGTCTTAATGCCTGGAAAACAATAAAGGGGATATAATCGTATAGGGGGTAAATAGTGTTGTGAATATAAGGGCGACGGTAATGCTTGCCAGCATTGTGATAGTTCTTCTCCTACTCCTCTCTTTTCTTATTTTAACGGTATTATATAGTTCAAGTTCTCCTACTCCTCTCTTTTCTTATTTTAACGGTATTATATAGTTCTTCTCCTACTCCTCTCTTTTCTTATTTTAACGGTATTATATAGTTCTTCTCCTACTCCGCTCTTTTCTTATTTTAACGGTATTATATAGTTCTTCTCCTACTCCTCTCTTTTCTTATTTTAACGGTATTATATAGTTCTTCTCCTACTCCTCTCTTTTCTTATTTTAACGGTATTATATAGTTCTTCTCCTACTCCTCTCTTTTCTTATTTTAACGGTATTATATAGTTCTTCTCCTACTCCTCTCTTTTCTTATTTTAACGGTATTATATAGTTCTTCTCCTACTCCGCTCTTTTCTTATTTTAACGGTATTATATAGTTCTTCTCCTACTCCTCTCTTTTCTTATTTTAACGGTATTATATAGTTCTTCTCCTACTCCTCTCTTTTCTTATTTTAACGGTATTATATATAGTTCTTCTCCTACTCCTCTCTTTTCTTATTTTAACGGTATTATATAGTTCTTCTCCTACTCCGCTCTTTTCTTATTTTAACGGTATTATATACAGGGTTGCCGGGGGACCTTAAAAACCTTAAAAAACCTTAAAAACCTTAAAAACGGCAATTTTGGGCAAAAAACCTTAAAAAAGACGTGAAAAACGGGCAAATTTTCGGGTTTTTAAGGTTTTTTAAGGTTCCATACCTAAATTATACCTAGCTTGATGTTAGATTTAAATGGATTTTCCGGATTAGTAAAATTTTTTGAAATTATACCTAGCTTGATGTAGATCTGATAAGATTTTCTGAAATTATACCTAGCTTGTTGTAGATCTAATTGGGTTTTTCTGAAATTATACCTAGCTCGGTGTAGATCTAATTGGGTTTTTCTGAAATTATACCTAGCTTGTTGTAGATCTAATTGGGTTTTTCTGAAATTATACCCAGCTTGTTGTAGATCTAATTGGGTTTTTCTGAAATTATACCTAGCTCGCTGTAGATCTAATTGGGTTTTTCTGAAATTATACCTAGCTCGGTGTAGATCTAATTGGGTTTTTCTGAAATTATACCTAGCTTGTTGTAGATCTAATTGGGTTTTTCTGAAATTATACCTAGCTTGTTGTAGATCTAATTGGGTTTTTCTGAAATTATACCTAGCTTGTTGTAGATCTAATTGGGGTTTTCTGAAATTATACCTAGCTCGGTGTAGATCTAATTTGGTTTTTCTGAAATTATACCTAGCTTGTTGTAGATCTAATTGGGTTTTTCTGAAATTATACCTAGCTCGGTGTAGATCTAATTGGGTTTTTCTGAAATTATACCTAGCTCGGTGTAGATCTAATTGGGTTTTTCTGAAATTATACCTAGCTTGTTGTAGATCTAATTGGGTTTTTCTGAAATTATACCTAGCTTGTTGTAGATCTAATTGGGGTTTTCTGAAATTATACCTAGCTCGGTGTAGATCTAATTGGGTTTTTCTGAAATTATACCTAGCTTGTTGTAGATCTAATTTGGTTTTTCTGCAATTATACCTAGCTCGGTGTAGATCTAATTGGGTTTTTCTGAAATTATACCTAGCTTGTTGTAGATCTAATCGGGGTTTTCTGAAATTATACCTTCCCCCTTTAGATATGATTGCAATTTCTGTATCGGAAAACCTTGAAAAACCTTAAATTTGCACCTTTATTGCATTACGTTTGTCCAAACTTTCGCACTGTGGACCTTAAAAAACCTTGAATTTAACTGTTTTGGACCTTAAAAATGGGTCAAAAGGGGCCTTAAAAGACGTGAAAAAACCTTAAAAATGACTCTCAAAAATGCCGGCAACCCTGATTATATAGTTCTTCTCCTACTCCGCTCTTTTCTTATTTTAACAGTATCATATAGTTCTTCTCTTACTCCTCTCTTTTCTTATTTTAACGGTATTATATAGTTCTTCTCCTACTCCTCTCTTTTCTTATTTTAACGGTATTATATAGTTCTTCTCCTACTCCTCTCTTTTCTTATTTTAACGGTATTATATAGTTCTTCTCCTACTCCTCTCTTTTCTTATTTTAACGGTAGTATATAGTTCTTCTCCTACTCCTCTCTTTTCTTATTTTAACGGTATTATATAGTTCTTCTCCTACTCCGCTCTTTTCTTATTTTAACGGTATAATAAAAGACTAGTGTAACCCGTGCATACGGCCGGAATTTCATTATCGCAATTGAATTGCTCAAGTATAAACAGTGCAAAAGATTATAATATATATATTATATATTATATATATATATAATACTATAATATAGATCTTACTGTATAATCATATAACCTATACAGCTATACGGCATACAGCACGTTTTTTTGTTGATCGTATAAAGTGTTTCTTATTAAACCGATTAATGCTAATGAACTCATGAATCTCCATACTAATCATCTAGAGAGCGAGGAAGAGGAAACACCCCCACAGACCACACAACCTAATGTTATAGCTAAATTCTTGTTATTCTAAACACGTGATACCTATCAACCAATCAGAGAGCTGTATTCTAAACACGTGATCTCTTTATCTAGAGAGCGACGAAGACAGAGAAGAGGAGACACCCCCACAGACCACACAACCTAATGTTATAGCTAAATTCTTGGGAGAGCAAGAGATAAAAATACATCTGAAGATAAATGACCAACTCCCTGGGCCTAAGGTTAGTTCGTAGCTTCATTAAACTTTATTATTAGTTACAATAATTAGTTACTATTTATTATTATAAGCAGTTTTATTATACTATTAAGGCCACAGGGGGTGGGGTGACGTGGGGTTGAGATATGTTTTAGAGCTCGATCGAAATTGTCAAATGCATTTGTCCTGACCGAAAAAAGTTTCCCATCTTAAGATATCGCGCGTTAAATTAATCGCACATTATCTGATAAACTAATTAATATTATAGTATTAACTGATTAAAATCTAATTAACTGATTAATATCTAATTTTCTGATTAACTAATTAGCTAATTAACTGCTAATCAACTAACAACACTCAGCTGGACATGGAGTGTAATGTAGGGAGTATACACGCTATGCTGTCTCCACATGATGTACACATATTATCAGATCTTATCCACAGTATCAACACAACTTTATCAGGTTATTATTAACACATTAACTTAATTAAATAAATCGTATGGGTTTATCTAAACTTAAGTTTTATAGATTGCAATTTGTGCAATAATAAATATTGTTACAGACAGTAGGAAGGAGGCTACTCCTCTAAGATGCCAGAAGATGAGTAACGATGATTTCGCAAAGTTAGAACAGGAACTACATACCAACCATATCAAGGTAACCATAGTAACCATATTAAGGTATGCATAGTAACCATATCAAGGTATAATATTATACAAAATATGTTGTACTGTAGGGTTGATAGAACTGAAGGTAACCATAGTAACCATAGTAACCATATCAAGGTAACCATAGTAACCATATCTAGGTAACCATAGTAACCATATCATATCTAGGTAACCATAGTAACCATATAAAGGTAACCATAGTAACCATATCAAGGTATAATATTATACATTAAATATGTTGTACTGTAGGGTTGATAGAACTGAATGATACAAACCAAAACCCCGATTTACCGCAAACCCCGATTTACCGCGGGTTTCTGCTTTCCCCCAAAGTCCGCAGTAAATCGGGGTTTTACTGTACTTATATATAAGTACAGTATATGTATATATACATAGATATAACTATCTAATAATTGGAATAAAGGTTATAACCTTATATTAGGACGCAATGAAACTACCGGACCACGATGTATGGGGACTTGCCACCCCATGGCAACATTAAAATATATCGACTCTGTTACATCGTTTCCTAAAATTATTTGTTATATATAACAAATAATTTTATAATACATATAATTTATATATAATTATATATAGTAGACCTAGAATGAACTTGTTATCGGTTTTAAGAAGTGATTTAAGTATTAGAAATTTGCAAATGGACAACTCTCATGAATTGAACGAAATTAGAGATATAGCTGCATACAACAGATGTTGGGAAAATCTTTTTCAAGGGTACAGTTAACCGCATTAAGGTATTTTTAGGAATCTTTTTTGTCGGTAAGATCCTGTTTTATAATAATAATAATAATCGTCTCTTCCCCCAGGGTAGAGGTTTGTCTCATGAGGGGTTCGAGAGTGATTTCTTCTACTCTATGCACTCAGGTCCTACCCCCTTCCCTAACCTCGACCTTCCTCCTCTAGATACTGATATGCAGGTTATTTACTTTTACTTTATGTTACTTTAAGTTATTGACTTACTTTTCTTATCTTCTCTTTGTTAACTCATTATAAAAATAATAAAGCTGGATTCATTTAAAAATCAGCTAATTAACAAAATATGAATTAAGATATAAATAAAATAATATCTAAGCAACTAAATAGCTCAACTAATAACTAAATAACTAATTGCCTGTAGAGTATACCACTGGGAGGGGCAGCAGATAAACCAGTTCTAAACACTACATCTCACCGCGCAACTCCTAAACAACAGAAACACAGCGAACTACTTGAGGATCAGATCGTGGTCAGTTTGGTTCTCTCTCACGTTACCTTTCACTTTCACTTTCTCTCTAACGTTACCTTTCAATTTCACTTTCTCTCTAACGTTATATTTCACTTTCACTTTCTCTCTCGCGTTACCTTTCAATTTCACTTTCTCTCTCACGTTACCTTTCAATTTCACTTTCTCTCTCACGTTACCTTTCAATTTCACTTTCTCTCTCACGTTACCTTTCACTTTCACTTTCTCTCTCACGTTACCTTTCAATTTCAATTTATCTCTCACGCTATCTTTCAATTTTACTTTTGCTTTTGCTTTTGTGTACACTGTACATGCTGTCGAGCTGACGGATTTCAATTTAAATTTCCCTCTCACGTTACCTTTCAATTTCACTCTCTCTCTCTCGTTATCTTTCAATTTCACTTTCTCTCTCACGTTACCTTTCAATTTCACTTTCTCTCGCACGTTACCTTTCAATTTCACTTTCTCTCTCACGTTACCTTTCAATTCAAATTTCTCTCTCACGTTACCTTTCAATTTCAATTTCACTTTCTCGTTACCTTTCAATTTAAATTTCTCTCTCACGTTACCTTTCAATTTTACTTTTGCTTTTGCTTTTGTGTACACTGTACATGCTGTCGAGCTGACGGATTTCAATTTAAATTTCCCTCTCACGTTACCTTTCAATTTCACTCTCTCTCTCTCTCGTTATCTTTCAATTTCACTTTCTCTCTCACGTTACCTTTCAATTTCAATTTCACTTTCTCGTTACCTTTCAATTTAAATTTCTCTCTCACGTTACCTTTCAATTTCACTTTCTCTCTCACGTTACCTTTCAATTCAAATTTCTCTCTCACGTTACCTTTCAATTTCAATTTCACTTTCTCGTTACCTTTCAATTTAAATTTCTCTCTCACGTTACCTTTCTATTTCACTTTCTCTCTCACGTAACCTTTCAATTTTACTTTTGCTTTTGCTTTTGTGTACAATGTACATGCTGTTGAGCTGACGGAGATAACACTTACAGGTACAACTAAATGTGCGATATATCGCGGTTACACTGTTACATCAGAACTTAACCAGTGTCAGTGTTAGTGGCGATCTCTCCCAACCTAACCTACCTATTGAACCTATGGTCACTTTATCTGCCAAGTACTTTGCTGAGGTATGTATACTGAAGTAGTGTAATCATGGTAACTAGTAGTGTAACTAGGAATACTGAAAGTTTCATTTAAAAATGTTTATCAAATATTGCTTGTTTTTAGGGCTGTCAGTTTACTCAGTAGCCTGAGATAAAAAGTAAAATGTTAAAATGTTAGTTTCCTCTCGACTCCCAGGTGAATGTAACTAGTAGTGTAACCATGGTAACTAGTAGTGTAACCATGGTAACTAGTAGTGTAACCAGGCTCCCAGGAGAATGTTTTATAATTTTTTTCAACAGCAGATTTTATTACAGGTAGCTGATCAAGTAACGAACAATTACGAGAACGACTCCGCATGCATTCGCGCCTCCTTAAACAAGGTTTATTCTTACTCTTTACATATCACTCCGCATGCATTCGCGCCTCCTTAAACAGGGTTTATTCTTACTCTTTACATATCACTCCGCATGCATTCGCGCCTCCTTAAACAAGGTTTATTCTTACTCTTTACATATCACTCCGCATGCATTCGCGCCTCCTTAAACAAGGTTTATTCTTACTCTTTACATATCTATTGGGTCTATCACAAAAACATTATAAACGTTTTATATGCTGCATCTTGGTTTATCAACTATTATCTCATCATTGTAATGATCTATAATGAATTATCTTATTAATCAATTAATTAAACAAATATTATATCTAATTATCTAATTAATCAATTAATTAGACGAATATTGTCCCAGGTGTGTCCTCATGATCATCTGTTCCTTGTTTCTGTGAATACGAACTTTAGACTAGAGCTTATGACTACCACTCAACATGTGAGTTTTAGTTTTACTTTGTCTTTTATTTGTACTATTACTTGTTAAAAACAACAAGCTTCAGACTCAGATTGTTAAATGCCAATTTCTTCCTATCATGAACTTTAGTTTGTTTAATTTTTTAAAACTAACAGTAGTCTAACAGTAATTAATACAGAGTAAATATTCTAATGTACATATTTCTGTATTTAAGAAAAACAGTGTAATTAAATTCTATAGAATTTTCACTGCCACAACTACACTCTGCTACTAGAGCAATTTAGCTTGAAAAGGTGGTTGATAATAATAATATTGTATCTGACACTGAAGAATATAAATATAATATGATATTAATAGTTTTACTTAATTAAATCTATAAATTGTAAGGGTTCAGGATTGCACATTACACAATTATCATTAAGAATATTTCTACGACAATTTAATATTAAAATAAAATGCTAGGTACAAAGACCCAGTAAAATGTAATTAATCAAGCTTTCCACTACTATATATTATATGTAAGTTAATAAAAAGTTGTTTAGCAAAACGAGGATTAAACCTAAGATATTCATTTTGTGTGTATTAACATTATTGGTTTTCTCAATTCTTCCCAAAACTTCATTCGAAACATACCAAAAATAATAATTATTTACAATACTTTTAAAAATAATATCTTACCTAAATCTTTCTAATTTAACTTTTAAATTTTGGAACTGTCTGAGTAGTGGATAGTGTTCTTGACGTCCGGAGGGAGTTTATTCCAAAATAGGCTAACTCTCTCCGAAAGAAGAAAAAAACTGTGGAGATTCTTAATCTAAGAAAAATTAATATAAATGTCTATTTAAACTAAAAATCATTTACTTTATATAATTATGTAATTATGTAATTATGTAACCTTACTGAATGTACATATTTTCAATAGAAGCAAGGCTACATAAGGTTACTGAAGGTAATTGTTTCAGATAGATACGAGTGCGTCACTGTCGATTGTAAGATGCGAGATTGAAGAAGCCTTATTCAGTTCTCTCACAGAAACAAACCTTTCTTCGCCCAACATACAACCGGTAATAACTTCTTATTATTCCCGGGTAACCAGGTAACCAGGTAACCAGGTAACCAGGTTACCAGGTTACCAGGTTACCAGGTTACCAGGTTCTCTCACAGAAACAAACCTTTCTTCGCCCAACAAACAACCGGTAATCACTTCTTATTATTCCTTTCTTTCTTCCGAAAACACTCAGAAATTAGAAAATAGCTCCTCGCCCAGTCGTAGTTTTGGTTGCTCTGAATAAAACTTCATCTGGATATAATACTGTTGGCATGTTAAACCAATTTGTGGATAAGATAAATTTTAAGTCTAAAAAGATCCGAACATATCTTGGATTAATCTTACATTACTGACTATACATGTAATGCCACATTATAATACCTATCATACCTACTTATTGAATCTATCATACCTACTTATTGAATCTATCATACCTACTATACTTATTGAATCTATCATACCTACTTATTGAATCTATTAAGCCTAAAATAGTATTCTCTTAATTAGGAAGTAATTACTCGCCACACAGTGTACAATTTGTAGTCTGTACTGTTGTAAAAAAGTAAAAACACTGTTGTTAAAACCTAGCAGTGTTGTACTCACAAGTGAAGTATCTACCAGTACAGTGGTTTGAGCGCGATCAGAAATAAGGATTTATTAGAATGGGTTACTACTCTTAAGCAAGCAGAGCTTAACTGTCACGCTTGTAAAATTTCGTTTGATGTCATAAGAAAGAGAGGTATTTTTGGGTCAGACGGTTCGCCATTCCTGTCGTAGAACAGGCGGGTGCCAGAGTATCTTCCTATATCAGCGACAGTTAATTTTTGCCTTGATCGCTTGAAGGCCGATAATAGCAGAGATGCGTTGGCATCAAAACATTTGAGCATTTTTATTGTGATATTATGATTCCTCATATTTGGAGACATTTTGGAGACATTGTCTCCATGGGAATTTCATGGGAATTGGAGGGGAATTAGAGGGGAATTACGTATTATTGATATTTAAGCACCTAAATTAGCTGTATATGGCTTAACTGAGTTCTGGTCTGTCCCTCAAACAAACTAAGACCTTTCACATACGAAAAGAAGACAAAAAAGGGGGGTGGCGAACCATATTTGCCAAAAAAAAATGTCAAAATTTTGTTTTCCATATTTCGCCCTAAAACGTCTCCAATGAGTTTGGTTGGCACCCTGGTTGATCTGGAAGTACGTTACCAGTTATTTGGGGCCTTCAGGGGGAAAATGGGCCGAAAAATGGGCCGAAAAGGGGCATTTTCGGGTGTTTTCAAATTTGAGATTTCAAAGCCAGATTTTCGGCTTTAGTTGGCTGGGACATGCCCAAATTGGTGTGGGTGAGTTGCATAGAGGTAGTACAAGTGTGATCCGTTGCAGAAATCCGGGTTCCCAAGATTCAAAATGACTTGAAAAGATTTTGTAAAAAATTGGAGACATTTTGGAATCCATGGGAATTTTTTGGAGACATCCATATTTCGCCCTAAAACGTCTCCAATGAGTTTGGTTGGCACCCTGGTTGATCTGGAAGTACGTTACCAGTTATTTGGGGCCTTCAGGGGGAAAATGGGCCGAAAAATGGGCCGAAAAGGGGCATTTTCGGGTGTTTTCAAATTTGAGATTTCAAAGCCAGATTTTCGGCTTTAGTTGGCTGGGACATGCCCAAATTGGTGTGGGTGAGTTGCATAGAGGTAGTACAAGTGTGATCCGTTGCAGAAATCCGGGTTCCCAAGATTCAAAATGACTTGAAAAGATTTTGTAAAAAATTGGAGACATTTTGGAATCCATGGGAATTTTTTGGAGACATCCATATTTCGCCCTAAAACGTCTCCAATGAGTTTGGTTGGCACCCTGGTTGATCTGGAAGTACGTTACCAGTTATTTGGGGCCTTCAGGGGGAAAATGGGCCGAAAAATGGGCCGAAAAGGGGCATTTTCGGGTGTTTTCAAATTTGAGATTTCAAAGCCAGATTTTCGGCTTTAGTTGGCTGGGACATGCCCAAATTGGTGTGGGTGAGTTGCATAGAGGTAGTACAAGTGTGATCCGTTGCAGAAATCCGGGTTCCCAAGATTCAAAATGACTTGAAAAGATTTTGTAAAAAATTGGAGACATTTTGGAATCCATGGGAATTTTTTGGAGACATCCATATTTCGCCCTAAAACGTCTCCAATGAGTTTGGTTGGCACCCTGGTTGATCTGGAAGTACGTTACCAGTTATTTGGGGCCTTCAGGGGGGAAAATGGGCCGAAAAATGGGCCGAAAAGGGGCATTTTCGGGTGTTTTCAAATTTGAGATTTCAAAGCCAGATTTTCGGCTTTAGTTGGCTGGGACATGCCCAAATTGGTGTGGGTGAGTTGCATAGAGGTAGTACAAGTGTGATCCGTTGCAGAAATCCGGGTTCCCAAGATTCAAAATGACTTGAAAAGATTTTGTAAAAAATTGGAGACATTTTGGAATCCATGGGAATTTTTTGGAGACATCCATATTTCGCCCTAAAACGTCTCCAATGAGTTTGGTTGGCACCCTGGTTGATCTGGAAGTACGTTACCAGTTATTTGGGGCCTTCAGGGGGGAAAATGGGCCGAAAAATGGGCCGAAAAGGGGCATTTTCGGGTGTTTTCAAATTTGAGATTTCAAAGCCAGATTTTCGGCTTTAGTTGGCTGGGACATGCCCAAATTGGTGTGGGTGAGTTGCATAGAGGTAGTACAAGTGTGATCCGTTGCAGAAATCCGGGTTCCCAAGATTCAAAATGACTTGAAAAGATTTTGTAAAAAATTGGAGACATTTTGGAATCCATGGGAATTTTTTGGAGACATCCATATTTCGCCCTAAAACGTCTCCAATGAGTTTGGTTGGCACCCTGGTTGATCTGGAAGTACGTTACCAGTTATTTGGGGCCTTCAGGGGGGAAAATGGGCCGAAAAGGGGCATTTTCGGGTGTTTTCAAATTTGAGATTTCAAAGCCAGATTTTCGGCTTTAGTTGGCTGGGACATGCCCAAATTGGTGTGGGTGAGTTGCATAGAGGTAGTACAAGTGTGATCCGTTGCAGAAATCCGGGTTCCCAAGATTCAAAATGACTTGAAAAGATTTTGTAAAAAATTGGAGACATTTTGGAATCCATGGGAATTTTTTGGAGACATCCATATTTCGCCCTAAAACGTCTCCAATGAGTTTGGTTGGCACCCTGGTTGATCTGGAAGTACGTTACCAGTTATTTGGGGCCTTCAGGGGGGAAAATGGGCCGAAAAATGGGCCGAAAAGGGGCATTTTCGGGTGTTTTCAAATTTGAGATTTCAAAGCCAGATTTTCGGCTTAAGTTGGCTGGGACATGCCCAAATTGGTGTGGGTGAGTTGCATAGAGGTAGTACAAGTGTGATCCGTTGCAGAAATCCGGGTTCCCAAGATTCAAAATGACTTGAAAAGATTTTGTAAAAAATTGGAGACATTTTGGAATCCATGGGAATTTTTTGGAGACATCCATATTTCGCCCTAAAACGTCTCCAATGAGTTTGGTTGGCACCCTGGTTGATCTGGAAGTACGTTACCAGTTATTTGGGGCCTTCAGGGGGGAAAATGGGCCGAAAAATGGGCCGAAAAGGGGCATTTTCGGGTGTTTTCAAATTTGAGATTTCAAAGCCAGATTTTCGGCTTTAGTTGGCTGGGACATGCCCAAATTGGTGTGGGTGAGTTGCATAGAGGTAGTACAAGTGTGATCCGTTGCAGAAATCCGGGTTCCCAAGATTCAAAATGACTTGAAAAGATTTTGTAAAAAATTGGAGACATTTTGGAATCCATGGGAATTTTTTGGAGACATCCATATTTCGCCCTAAAACGTCTCCAATGAGTTTGGTTGGCACCCTGGTTGATCTGGAAGTACGTTACCAGTTATTTGGGGCCTTCAGGGGGGAAAATGGGCCGAAAAATGGGCCGAAAAGGGGCATTTTCGGGTGTTTTCAAATTTGAGATTTCAAAGCCATATTTTCGGCTTTAGTTGGCTGGGACATGCCCAAATTGGTGTGGGTGAGTTGCATAGAGGTAGTACAAGTGTGATCCGTTGCAGAAATCCGGGTTCCCAAGATTCAAAATGACTTGAAAAGATTTTGTAAAAAATTGGAGACATTTTGGAATCCATGGGAATTTTTTGGAGACATCCATATTTCGCCCTAAAACGTCTCCAATGAGTTTGGTTGGCACCCTGGTTGATCTGGAAGTACGTTACCAGTTATTTGGGGCCTTCAGGGGGGAAAATGGGCCGAAAAATGGGCCGAAAAGGGGCATTTTCGGGTGTTTTCAAAGAGACAATGTCTCCAATTTTTTACAAAATCTTTTCAAGTCATTTTGAATCTTGGGAACGCGGATTTCTGCAACGGATCACACTTGTACTACCTATATGCAACTCACCCACACCAATTTGGGCATGTCCCAGCCAACTAAAGCCGAAAATCTGGCTTTGAAATCTCAAATTTGAAAACACCCGAAAATGCCCCTTTTCGGCCCATTTTTCGGCCAATTTTCCCCCTGAAGGCCCCAAATAACTGGTAACGTATTTCCAGATCAACCAGGGTGCCAACCAAACTCATTGGAGACGTTTTAGGGCGAAATATGGATGTCTCCAAAAAATTCCCATGGATTCCAAAATGTCTCCAATTTTTTACAAAATGTTTTCAAGTCATTTTGAATCTTGGGAACCCGGATTTCTGCAACGGATCACACTTGTACTACCTCTATGCAACTCACCCACACCAATTTGGGCATGTCCCAGCCAACTAAAGCCGAAAATCTGGCTTTGAAATCTCAAATTTGAAAACACCCGAAAATGCCCCTTTTCGGCCCATTTTTCGGCCCATTTTCCCCCCTGAAGGCCCCAAATAACTGGTAACGTACTTCCAGATCAACCAGGGTGCCAACCAAACTCATTGGAGACGTTTTAGGGCGAAATATGGATGTCTCCAAAAAATTCCCATGGATTCCAAAATGTCTCCAATTTTTTACAAAATCTTTTCAAGTCATTTTGAATCTTGGGAACCCGGATTTCTGCAACGGATCACACTTGTACTACCTCTATGCAACTCACCCACACCAATTTGGGCATGTCCCAGCCAACTAAAGCCGAAAATATGGCTTTGAAATCTCAAATTTGAAAACACCCGAAAATGCCCCTTTTCGGCCCATTTTTCGGCCCATTTTCCCCCCTGAAGGCCCCAAATAACTGGTAACGTACTTCCAGATCAACCAGGGTGCCAACCAAACTCATTGGAGACGTTTTAGGGCGAAATATGGATGTCTCCAAAAAATTCCCATGGATTCCAAAATGTCTCCAATTTTTTACAAAATCTTTTCAAGTCATTTTGAATCTTGGGAACCCGGATTTCTGCAACGGATCACACTTGTACTACCTCTATGCAACTCACCCACACCAATTTGGGCATGTCCCAGCCAACTAAAGCCGAAAATCTGGCTTTGAAATCTCAAATTTGAAAACACCCGAAAATGCCCCTTTTCGGCCCATTTTTCCCCCTGAAGGCCCCAAATACTTCCAGATCTACCAGGGTGTCAACTGTAAATGCCCTCCCTGGTCTATTAGGACAGTTAAAATTTATTCTTATCTTGGAATTCCGGTTCCCAACGATGTTTTTCGATGAATTTCAGAATTTAAATTTTTGGCATATTTTATCTTCACTATCCTTTTTCACCGGTTCAAAAAACTTTCCTTTCATATTAGAACTGATAACTTGTAAGATAGATCAGTTTTAGGCTGTTTTGGGCGAAATCTGAAATTGATCAAATGTCTCCATTTTGAGGAATCATTATATGTTTATCGTGATATTCGTAGCGCGCGGCGACATTTCGCTTTGTTATTGCACTTCTGCTTCCAATTATCTAGTCACGCGATGTTTTAGCGCGCGCGTGTAGATTAGACTTGTGAGTCATGTGAGCGATTGACTGTCACCAAGTTCAATATTTGGACGGCGGAGAAACTCAAGTATCAGTGTATCAGTGACTGAAACAATATACTAGAGCACTAGAGTAATACTGTCGATATGAACAATACCATCTCAATAAACCTGAATAAGTGATGTAGTGCAGTAGTGGTCATGGTAACAAGTGTAGTTTATGAGTTTATGTACTTTCACATATTGTATTAAAACCTACACAAACAATGTAGTAGCTGGAGACTGGGATTTGATCAATCGATATTACTAGTTGATTACACTAGTTGATTACACTAGTTGATTACACTAACTTATTACACTGCCTCCCCGCTATCACAGATTGTCTGGAAAAACTAAGACTACATTGGTGGTGGGCCGAGCTCAGACCTGATTCTTGTACTGCATATTTACTTAATCCGGTTTTTGATTTCTAAGATGTTAAATTGTCATTAAATTTAGGTACTACTATTGGATCAAAGAGAAACGAGAGCTACTAGTGGATCTATCTACCACCCTACTTCACCTGCTCTCAATCTTATCTTCAAATCTACTACTGCTGTAAGTATCAGTTACTTCACCTGCTCTCAATCTTATCTTCAAATCTACTACTGCTGTAAGTATTAGTTACTCTCAATCTTATCTTCAAATCTACTACTGCTGTAAGTATTAGTTACTTCACCTGCTCTCAATCTTATCTTCAAATCTACTACTGCTGTAAGTATCAGTTACTTCACCTGCTCTCAATCTTATCTTCAAATCTACTACTGCTGTAAGTATTAGTTACTCTCAATCTTATCTTCAAATCTACTACTGCTGTAAGTATTAGTTACTTCACCTGCTCTCAATCTTATCTTCAAATCTACTACTGCTGTAAGTATCAGTTACTTCACCTGCTCTCAATCTTATCTTCAAATCTACTACTGCTGTAAGTATTAGTTACTTCACCTGCTCTCAATCTTATCTTCAAATCTACTACTGCTGTAAGTATTAGTTACTCTCAATCTTATCTTCAAATCTACTACTGCTGTAAGTATTAGTTACTTCACCTGCTCTCAATCTTATCTTCAAATCTACTACTGCTGTAAGTATTAGTTACTTCACCTGCTCTCAATCTTATCTTCAAATCTACTACTGCTGTAAGTATTAGTTACTTCACCTGCTCTCAATCTTATCTTCAAATCTACTACTGCTGTAAGTATTAGTTACTTCACCTGCTCTCAATCTTATCTTCAAATCTACTACTGCTGTAAGTATTAGTTACTTCACCTGCTCTCAATCTTATCTTCAAATCTACTACTGCTGTAAGTATTAGTTACTTCACCTGCTCTCAATCTTATCTTCAAATCTACTACTGCTGTAAGTATTAGTTACTCTCAATCTTATCTTCAAATCTACTACTGCTGTAAGTATTAGTTACTTCACCTGCTGTCAATCTTATCTTCAAATCTACTACTGCTGTAAGTATTAGTTACTTCACCTGCTCTCAATCTTATCTTCAAATCTACTACTGCTGTAAGTATTAGTTACTCTCAATCTTATCTTCAAATCTACTACTGCTGTAAGTATTAGTTACTCTCAATCTTATCTTCAAATCTACTACTGCTGTAAGTATTAGTTACTTCACCTGCTCTCAATCTTATCTTCAAATCTACTACTGCTGTAAGTATTAGTTACTTCACCTGCTGTCAATCTTATCTTCAAATCTACTACTGCTGTAAGTATTAGTTACTTCACCTGCTCTCAATCTTATCTTCAAATCTACTACTGCTGTAAGTATTAGTTACTTCACCTGCTGTCAATCTTATCTTCAAATCTACTACTGCTGTAAGTATTAGTTACTTCACCTGCTCTCAATCTTATCTTCAAATCTACTACTGCTGTAAGTATTAGTTACTTCACCTGCTCTCAATCTTATCTTCAAATCTACTACTGCTGTAAGTATTAGTTACTTCACCTGCTGTCAATCTTATCTTCAAATCTACTACTGCTGTAAGTATTAGTTACTTCACCTGCTCTCAATCTTATCTTCAAATCTACTACTGCTGTAAGTATTAGTTACTTCACCTGCTGTCAATCTTATCTTCAAATCTACTACTGCTGTAAGTATTAGTTACTTCACCTGCTCTCAATCTTATCTTCAAATCTACTACTGCTGTAAGTATTAGTTACTTCACCTGCTCTCAATCTTATCTTCAAATCTACTACTGCTGTAAGTATTAGTTACTTCACCTGCTCTCAATCTTATCTTCAAATCTACTACTGCTGTAAGTATTAGTTACTCTCAATCTTATCTTCAAATCTACTACTGCTGTAAGTATTAGTTACTTCACCTGCTCTCAATCTTATCTTCAAATCTACTACTGCTGTAAGTATTAGTTACTTCACCTGCTCTCAATCTTATCTTCAAATCTACTACTGCTGTAAGTATTAGTTACTTCACCTGCTCTCAATCTTATCTTCAAATCTACTACTGCTGTAAGTATTAGTTACTTCACCTGCTCTCAATCTTATCTTCAAATCTACTACTGCTGTAAGTATTAGTTACTTCACCTGCTCTCAATCTTATCTTCAAATCTACTACTGCTGTAAGTATTAGTTACTTCACCTGCTCTCAATCTTATCTTCAAATCTACTACTGCTGTAAGTATTAGTTACTTCACCTGCTCTCAATCTTATCTTCAAATCTACTACTGCTGTAAGTATTAGTTACTTCACCTGCTGTCAATCTTATCTTCAAATCTACTACTGCTGTAAGTATAGTAGAGGCTCTTACGGGCAAAAAGACGTGTTTTCTGCTACGAGTTTAGAGACCTAACCGCTAATTGGACACAATAGTATGATGTCTAAGGATCGATAATATGTTAAGAAGTATAAATTTGGCCTTATTAGTCACGTGCTATACCAATGCGCGTTTTAAACTTTGACAGTCTATTACTCTAAGGCAAATAAAGTAATTATATCCATATTTTGTCAGCAATAAGATCACATTATTTTCTATTTAGTGTGAAAATATGAGCTAGAACGGACATAATCTCGCTGAGTTATAGCTGTTTGAAATTTATGATGAACGCGCGGGTGCCAATTGATAACAACTAAATGCTTTTGCGCGTAGTGCGCGTCGAAAATTTGGCAAAAACGCTTGCGGAGTGACAATATTCAAACTTCGATTAAGTATATGAAGTGGGTACTTCTCGGAAAGGAAAAATTTAGGCAAACACGATGTGACTATTTTTGGGTTGATTTAATACAACTGCAAAAAATTATTCAAACTTAAAGCAAAAAAGTCAAAATTTTTACCACTTTTTTGGATTTTTACCTCAGAACAAATAGAGGGATTTGTTTTATTTTTATACAATCTTGTGCGGCTGTCTTTTAGCTATCTTTATGCAAGTTTTGCCGACATGCCAACAAAATTAACTTGCTCAAAATATCAAAAAACATGGTTTTTTGGCCTATTTTTGGCCCAAAAATCGGTTTTTTGCGATTTTACCCCAGAACAATCAGTCCAATCATCTTGAAACCACTTTCAATCGATTCTACGGTCAAAAATACGTCTAGTAAGGTGTATCTGGGGTCCCTAACGTATCGAGCAGACAATGCCCGTAAGAGCCTCTACTAGTATTAGTTACTCTCAATCTTATCTTCAAATCTACTACTGCTGTAAGTATTAGTTACTTCACCTGCTGTCAATCTTATCTTCAAATCTACTACTGCTGTAAGTATTAGTTACTTCACCTGCTGTCAATCTTATCTTCAAATCTACTACTGCTGTAAGTATTAGTTACTTCACCTGCTCTCAATCTTATCTTCAAATCTACTACTGCTGTAAGTATTAGTTACTTCACCTGCTCTCAATCTTATCTTCAAATCTACTACTGCTGTAAGTATAGTAGAGGCTCTTACGGGCAAAAAGACGTGTTTTCTGCTACGAGTTTAGAGACCTAACCGCTAATTGGACACAATAGTATGATGTCTAAGGATCGATAATATGTTAAGAAGTATAAATTTGGCCTTATTAGTCACGTGCTATACCAATGCGCGTTTTAAACTTTGACAGTCTATTACTCTAAGGCAAATAAAGTAATTATATCCATATTTTGTCAGCAATAAGATCACATTATTTTCTATTTAGTGTGAAAATATGAGCTAGAACGGACATAATCTCGCTGAGTTATAGCTGTTTGAAATTTATGATGAACGCGCGGGTGCCAATTGATAACAACTAAATGCTTTTGCGCGTAGTGCGCGTCGAAAATTTGGCAAAAACGCTTGCGGAGTGACAATATTCAAACTTCGATTAAGTATATGAAGTGGGTACTTCTCGGAAAGGAAAAATTTAGGCAAACACGATGTGACTATTTTTGGGTTGATTTAATACAACTGCAAAAAATTATTCAAACTTAAAGCAAAAAAGTCAAAATTTTTACCACTTTTTTGGATTTTTACCTCAGAACAAATAGAGGGATTTGTTTTATTTTTATACAATCTTGTGCGGCTGTCTTTTAGCTATCTTTATGCAAGTTTTGCCGACATGCCAACAAAATTAACTTGCTCAAAATATCAAAAAACATGGTTTTTTGGCCTATTTTTGGCCCAAAAATCGGTTTTTTGCGATTTTACCCCAGAACAATCAGTCCAATCATCTTGAAACCACTTTCAATCGATTCTACGGTCAAAAATACGTCTAGTAAGGTGTATCTGGGGTCCCTAACGTATCGAGCAGACAATGCCCGTAAGAGCCTCTACTAGTATTAGTTACTCTCAATCTTATCTTCAAATCTACTACTGCTGTAAGTATTAGTTACTTCACCTGCTGTCAATCTTATCTTCAAATCTACTACTGCTGTAAGTATTAGTTACTTCACCTGCTCTCAATCTTATCTTCAAATCTACTACTGCTGTAAGTATTAGTTACTTCACCTGCTCTCAATCTTATCTTCAAATCTACTACTGCTGTAAGTATTAGTTACTTCACCTGCTCTCAATCTTATCTTCAAATCTACTACTGCTGTAAGTATTAGTTACTTCACCTGCTCTCAATCTTATCTTCAAATCTACTACTGCTGTAAGTATTAGTTACCTCACCTGCTCTCAATCTTATCTTCAAATCTACTACTGCTGTAAGTATTAGTTACTTCACCTGCTGTCAATCTTATCTTCAAATCTACTACTGCTGTAAGTATTAGTTACTTCACCTACTCTCAATCTTATCTTCAAATCTACTACTGCTGTAAGTATTAGTTACTCGGTATTAGTTACTCGGTTACAGCTGCCTATATGTATCTATGTTGCCTATAATATGTATGTTGAAAGTGTACTCAGTGTTATTGAACTGTATGTAATAAGTGTCGTCATGGTAACAAGTGTTGTCATCAGTCATGGTAACTATGGTAACTATGGTAACTATGGTAACTATGGTAACAAGTCTCCCTTATTCAGAACGAAGAGTACAGAACGAACTTCCAGCTGGATTTAGGAAGTTTGTCAATAATAGCAGATATAACTATGTTAGACAGAGTCGGGGTCTTCCACAAACCACAGAACTCCAAGAGGACCGTGCATCTCCCTACAGTACCTGGGCAAGATCTTCACCTTCCCACAGCTAGTATGGTAAGACCTTCACCTTCCCACAGCTAGTATGGTACGATCTTTCTATTCCACATTAATCTTACAATGCATGGGTAGGATCTTCACTTTCCTGAATATGGAATTCCACTAGCTTTAGACAGGGTAAATGTTGAACTTTCTGATATGATAATATATAATACTAGTGTAACTAATAACTAGTAACTAATATATAGTATGATTAGGGAATTGTCTCTTCAGGTAAGACAAGACATTTACGAGCAAGTGATGGGAGAAGACTGGTCGAATGACAGATACCAGGAAATATTTGTATCAACATGTACCTGTAACTCTATATCAATCACATTTAGGTTAGTTTTATCCCGGATATGCTAGGTTATATTAAATATTTGCTACAGGTTCCCTATCCCGGATATACTAGGTTATATTTAATAATTGCTAGGTTCCCTATCCCGGATATGCTAGGTTACATTAAATAATTGCTACAGGTTCCCTATCCCGGATATGCTAGGTTATATTAAATAATTGCTAGGTTCCCTATCCCGGATATGCTAGGTTATATTAAATAATTGCTAGGTTCCCTATCCCGGATATGCTAGGTTATATTAAATAATTGCTAGGTTCCCTATCCCGGATATGCTAGGTTACATTAAATATTTGCTACAGGTTCCCTATCCCGGATATACTAGGTTATATTAAATAATTGCTAGGTTCCCTATCCCGGATATGCTAGGTTATGTTAAATAATTGCTAGGTTCCCTATCCCGGATATGCTAGGTTATATTAAATAATTGCTAGGTTCCCTATCCCGGACATGCTAGGTTATATTAAATAATTGCTAGGTTCCCTATCCCGGATATGCTAGGTTATATTAAATAATTGCTAGGTTCCTTATCCCGGATATGCTAGGTTATATTAAATAATTGCTAGGTTCCCTATCCCGGATATGCTAGGTTATATTAAATAATTGCTAGGTTCCCTATCCCGGATATGCTAGGTTATATTAAATAATTGCTAGGTTCCCTATCCCGGATAGGCTAGGTTATATTAAATAATTGCTACAGGTTCCCTATCCCGGATATGCTAGGTTATATTAAATAATTGCTAGGTTCCCTATCCCGGATATGCTAGGTTATATTAAATAATTGCTAGGTTCCCTATCCCGGATATGCTAGGTTACATTAAATAATTGCTAGGTTCCCTATCCCGGATATGCTAGGTTACATTAAATAATTGCTAGGTTCCCTATCCCGGATATGCTAGGTTATATTAAATAATTGCTAGGTTCCCTATCCCGGATATGCTAGGTTATATTAAATAATTGCTAGGTTCCCTATCCCGGATATGCTAGGTTATATTTAATAATTGCTAGGTTCCCTATCCCGGATATGCTAGGTTATATTAAATAATTGCTAGGTTCCCTATCCCGGATATGCTAGGTTACATTAAATAATTGCCAGGTTCCCTATCCCGGATATGCTAGGTTATATTAAATAATTGATAGGTTCCCTATCCCGGATATGCTAGGTTACATTAAATAATTGCTAGGTTCCCTATCCCGGGTATGCTAGGTTATATTAAATAATTGCTAGGTTCCCTATCCCGGATATGCTAGGTTACATTAAATAATTGCTACAGGTTCCCTATCCCGGATATGCTAGGTTATATTAAATAATTGCTAGGTTCCCTATCCCGGATATGCTAGGTTACATTAAATAATTGCTAGGTTCCCTATCCCGGATATGCTAGGTTACATTAAATAATTGCTAGGTTCCCTATCCCGGATATGCTAGGTTATATTAAATAATTGCTAGGTTCCCTATCCCGGATATGCTAGGTTATATTAAATAATTGCTAGGTTCCCTATCCCGGATATGCTAGGTTATATTAAATAATTGCTAGGTTCCCTATCCCGGATATACTAGGTTATATTTAATAATTGCTAGGTTCCCTATCCCGGATATGCGGCCCTCAGCTCAGAGAACGTGGTGGGCTCCTGCACTGCGCGCTGATTACGTTGTTATTCACATAGACGAGGCAACTGCGGAGTACAATACACTTAGTGCGCCTGCTAGTTTCACTGCTGAGTTCACTAAACTAAACTGTAAGTACTCACTACTAGCTTCACTGCTGAGTTCACTAAACTAAACTGTAAGTACTCACTACTAGTTTCACTGCTGAGTTCACTAAACTAAACTGTAAGTACTCACTACTAGTTTCACTGCTGAGTTCACTAAACTAAACTGTAAGTACTCACTAAGTGGAAAATAATTAACTCAAATCACGTTTATTTAATACGCAAGTTAGTTAATTAGTTAATTAGGTAATTTGTTAATTAGTTAATTAATTAATTAGTTAATTAGTTAATTGGTTAATTATTAAACATATTGTTAACCAGGTGAATATCTGGAGAACAGTGATAGTGACCCCATACAGTTCCTGTTAGTCGGGTCGTTAGAGGAGGAACCAGATAGACGTCCTAGGTATGTGGGGTAGAGGGGTAGAGGGGTAGAGGGGCAGAGGGGTAGAGGGGTAGAGGGGTAGAGGGGTAGAGGGACAGAGGGGCAGAGGGGCAGAGGGGTAGAGGGGTAGAGGGGTAGAGGGGCAGAGGGCAGAGGGTAAAGGGGCAGAGGGGCAGAGGGGTAGAGGGGCAGAGGGGTAGAGGGGTAGAGGGGCAGAGGGGCAGAGGGGTAGAGGGGCAGAGAGGCAGAGGGGTAGAGGGGTAGAGGGGCAGAGGGGCAGAGGGGTAGAGGGGTAGAGGGGTAGAGGGGTAGAGGGGTAGAGGGGCAGAGGGGTAGAGGGTCAGATGGGTAGAGGGGTAGAGGGGCAGAGGGGTAGAGGGGCAGAGGGTAGAGAGGTAGAGGGGTAGAGGGGTAGAGGGGTAGAGGGGTAGAGGGGTAGAGGGGCAGGGGGTTGAGGGGCAGAGGGGTAGAGGGGCAGAGAGGCAGAGGGGTAGAGGGGCAGAGGGTAAAGGGGCGGAGGGGCAGAGGGGTAGAGGGGTAGAGGGGCAGAGGGGTAGAGGGGCAGGGGGTAGAGGGGCAGAGGGGTAGAGGGGTAGAGGGGTAGAAGGGTAGAGGGGCAGAGGGCAGAGGGGTAGAGGAGCAGGGGGTAGACGGGCAGAGGGGTAGAGGGGTAGAGGGGTAGAGGGGCAGAGGGCAGAGGGTAAAGGGGCAGAGGGGCAGAGGGGTAGAGGGGCAGAGGGGTAGAGGGGTAGAGGGGCAGAGGGGCAGAGGGGTAGAGGGGCAGAGAGGCAGAGGGGTAAAGGGGTAGAGAGGCAGAGGGGCAGAGGGGTAGAGGGGTAGAGGGGTAGAGGGGTAGAGGGGTAGAGGGGTAGAGGGGCAGAGGGGTAGAGGGTCAGATGGGTAGAGGGGTAGAGGGGCAGAGGGGTAGAGGGGCAGAGGGTAGAGGGGTAGAGGGGTAGAGGGGTAGAGGGGTAGAGGGGTAGAGGGGCAGGGGGTTGAGGGGCAGAGGGGTAGAGGGGCAGAGAGGCAGAGGGGTAGAGGGGCAGAGGGTAAAGGGGCGGAGGGGCAGAGGGGTAGAGGGGTAGAGGGGCAGAGGGGTAGAGGGGCAGGGGGTAGAGGGGCAGAGGGGTAGAGGGGTAGAGGGGTAGAAGGGTAGAGGGGCAGAGGGCAGAGGGGTAGAGGAGCAGGGGGTAGACGGGCAGAGGGGTAGAGGGGCAGAGGGATAGAGGGGTAGAGGGCAGAGGGGTAGAGGGGTATAGGGGTAGAGGGGTAGAGGAGTAGAGGGGTAGAGGGGTAGAGGGGCAGAGGGGCAGAGGGGTAGAGGGGCAGGGGGTAGAGGGGCAGAGGGGTAGAGGGGTAGAGGGGTAGAGGGGTAGAAGGGTAGAAGGGTAGAGTGGCAGAGGGGTAGAGGGGTAGAGGGGCAGAGGTACTGGGAGTCAAAATCCCGAATAAAATTGCAAAATCATATTGTTCCAATGTCTGTCCCATTTTCAGTTTTTGAGATGAAATTTCCAGGACCGAAATTTTACAGTTTTGACTGATTTTTTTAGTAAGTCAACTATAGATGGCAAATGACCAGTTGAGGTGCTGGAAGTTTGATTTCGGTCGGAGGAAGCCCACAGCAGAAAGCTTAACAAAACGAAAAGTTAAAAAAATCCTGTCCCATTTTCAAATATGAAATTTTCTGAACCCAAATTTGACAGATTGGATGAAATTTTTGCACAGAAACCAATTAGTTAGTTAATTGATGATAGTATGAAACCAAATTGAGGTACTGGGAGTCAAAATCCTTAATGAAATTGCAAAATCATATTGTCCCAATGTCTGTCCCATTTTCAGTTTTTGAAGATGTAATTCGCAGGACCGAAATTTTACAGTTTGACTGATTTTTCACCCGCAACCAAATAGTAAGTCAACTATATATATGCCATATGACACGATTGAGGTGCCGGAAGTTTGATTTCGGTCGGAGGAAGCCCACAGCAGAAAGCTTAACAAAACGAAAAGTTGTATTTTTAAAATTCTGTCCCATTTTCAAATATGAAATTTTCTGAACACAAATTTGGCATATTGGATTAATTTTTGCCCAGAAACAGATAAGTCAGTTAATTAATGATGGTAAAAAAGCAAATTGAGGTACTCTGAGTCAAAATCGGGAGTGGGTTCTAGAAACATATATATATGTCACGACGGTTCCTTGTTATAGAAGCTTCAAATAGCTAATGTTAATGGTCATGACTCATGAGTAGTTAAAGAGTAAATAACTTACAGGATTGTAATAAAGACAAGTCAAGTAACGGACAGCTCCCTCCTTGTAGCTCACAGTCCCTCTCCGCCTCCTTCTCTTGACAACATTCTACACATGCCCGAGAGCAAACCCTCCCCATTCGCCAGTAAACGTGTCATGTACGAGTCTCAAGAGGTCTGCTAATTAATTAGCTAATTATTTAATTATTTAATTACTAATATCTTGAATCATCTTTGATAGTTAGTAGTATTCCAATGAGTAATCGATGTAATTTTAAAGTTTTCTTACACTTCGTAAGATATAGGGTCTCGATTACTGGAGTTTTCTTAATAATATAAAAATTATACATTATTTAACAATAATTATTATTATACATTATAGATGTTGATACTGGTGGGGAGGTGAAACACATTTGTTTACTTTAATAGTGAGCACATGTTCGGCGGGTTGAGGAGGTGAAACACATTTGTTTACATTTTTAGGGTAAGCACATGTTCGGCGGGTTGAAGAGGTGATACACATTTTGTATTATATAGAAGGCTTGTAACACTTGTAACGCTTTCTTGTTACCCCCCTTTGAAGGCCCCGAATTATTTTCTGAACGAAAGCTCAAAAATAACCGAGAAATCGACCTTCTTATTAACTCATTTTGATGACTATTTCTGACCTAAAATTGCACGAAAAATCGATTTAGCTAGGTTTCAGAACCTATAAACACTTCCTTATCCCTAAAAATTGATGTTTTATAGCTAATACGAGCAACAAGCAACATATGTTTTGATCCTTCGGTTCTACTCATGACCTAGGCAGTAAAGCTGAACCCGACAGATCGAGGCAATCCTCACCTTAACTGATCAAACTAGTACTAACACACTTCTCAGATATAAATGTTCTTTGCGATACGTTTATTGCAGCTTTGCAACTTGAGTGAAGACCAGAGTACGAAAACACACAGCAGGTTAGCAACTCACTTTTGGTGACTGTTCCTCACGAACATTCTGATCATGCAACATATATGAACAAGGATATCGTCTCCTTAACAAATCGAACAGGTACTATCAAAATTTCTAGAGCACAGCATGATAACAAAGTCAAAAGAAACACAATGAAGGTAGGTTACCAACACCACAATATAACAATCATACTAAAAACTGAATTTAGTTTATTCTGACGACGGGCAGCCCTGATGTGCTCCGTGATCCTCAACGAGCGACCACTTGTAATAGAGGTGGTATGTCACGTGACACCGATCCGTCCAATCACAAACAGGAAGAGTGACCAGATCGATATCGTGTGTTTACTATCCTTATCTTTATTTGACCCTCTGTTCAAATTGTTATCTCTATCACATCTCGGCTCGGTAAGGTCCGCGTGCAATATCTGCACTGCGGTAAACACGCCATGATAACGTCATGAACTTGAAATAGTGTGATTGTTGTACTTATATAACCGTACCCATTGCCCACGTACAATACAAACTGTTGGGGGGGGGTTGAAGATAAACAACCGATCTTGATAGTGTGTCGGTCGCTCCTCCTATTCAGCAAGCTCAACAAGTTTAGGTAGACCTGGTCATTTAAAAAAATCACTGTCCACCTCCCTTAAAAAACAGGGTTGACAATTTGGGCACACACGAATGCGATGTCGCTCAGATAAGGCAATATCTTCGCCACAACTTTGTTTCCCAAAATCTTGTACCGCTTCAGATAGCCAATGGAGCGTTCCACGTGAATGCGGGCGATGCTTACTTTTCTGCTGGCAGCTACTTCTTCCGGCGTGAACTGAGTCTTGCTCCACATCACCTCTGGGATGTTAAGTGTAACTCCTGAAATTTAATTCGCTTTTTATTCCGCTTATTCTTAACTAACCGGACGATGAATAATCACTCTACACTCAACTATTACGTGACGTTACAACACGTTCTCTAGCTGGCTCTGAGTAACTGCTTACTGCATGCAGGATTTTAAATAGAAATTTGAATAGTGTACAGCAAAGCTCTAACCCATGATCCGAAATAAAATGCAGCTGGTAAACGATCTAAAGAGGGGTCCACTGAACGAACCGGACGCGGATTACGCACGTTACGTGCACCAAAACGGCATATTTAGATTCTAAGACTAAGAGGAAATTAAATTCACGTCGCTACATGCACAGTTAATTTTTAAGCACGAACACAGTAATCATGTGGTAGCATGGATTTAAACAGACAAACAGTGTTATTTGCAGTAGCATCAGTTAACGATGGAGTACGTTTTCAGTTTGCGGGCCTAAATGTAAAGGACCGTCAATGTGGCCAAAAATACGATACGAATATGTATGTACGGTACCAGCTAAAATATCTGTCAGTACAAGTATATACAGCAAAGCTCTTACCCATGATCCGAAATAAAATGCAGCTGGTAAACGAACTAAAGAGGGGTCCACAGGTCCAATGAACCATTTCAACAGCGCACCCATTACCCGTTATCGATTTTATCAATACTTCCGTATCTCATCTAAAATAAACACCCCGCACACAAAATGAATTCCATTGACTTTGAGGGCAAGTGCAACATTTAAAGTTACACAAACTCTTATTACAATTGTGAGAATGATTCCAAGTTTACATATTTAAAACGGCAATGACTGATTACACAGCACAAATTGAAATTTTGAGTGTCTAACCTGGTAAAAATGAACTGCACCATGTTGAACTAGTACTTCAAATCTGTCATGTATAACCATGCTTGTCCTCCTGTACACTGCAAGTGCCTCCTCCTGGAACATACAGTTCTTGTCAGTGAAGTCGTGTCCTATATTCCGTTTTCAAACACTTACTGTCTAAGTTAAGCAAAGGAGCACTCATGGATATATGTTAATGTTCCGTTCATGATTGAACAGTTAGCATCACAGTCAGTTGGAGGAGCGACCAACACACTATCAAGATCGGTTGTTTATCTTCAACCCCCCCCCCCCCCCCCCCCCAACAGTTTGTATTGTAGGTGGGCAATGGTGAGCAATGGGCACGGTTATATAAGTACAACAATCATGGCGTGTTTACCGCGGTGCAGATATTGCACGCGGACCTTGCCGAGCCGAGATGTGATAGAGATAACAATTTGAACAGAGGGTCAAATAAAGATAAGGATAGTAAACACACGATATCGATCTGGTCATTCTTCCTGTTTGTGATTGGACGGATCGGTGTCACGTGACATACCACCTCTATTACAAGTGGTCGCTCGTTGAGGATCACGGAGCACATCAGGGCTGCCCGTCGTCAGAATAAACTTAATTCAGTTGTTAGTATGATTGTTATATTGTGGTGTTGGTAACCTACCTTCATTGTGTTTCTTTTGAATTTGTTATCATGCTGTGCTCTGGAAATTGTGATAGTACCTGTTCGATTTGTTAAGGAGACGATATCCTTGTTCATATGTTGCAGGATCAGAATGTTCGTGATGAACAGTCACAAAAAGTGAGTTGCTTACCTGCTGTGTGTTTTCGTACTCTGGTCTTCACTAAGTTGCAAAGCTGCAATAAACGTATATCGCAAAGAACATTTATATCTGAAAAGTGTGTTAGTACCAGTTTTATCAGTTAAGGTGAGGATTGCCTCGATCTGTCGGTTTCAGCTTAACTGCCTAGGTCATGAGTAGAACCGAAGGATCAAAACATATGTTGCTTGTTGCTCGTATTAGCTATAAAACATCAATTTTTAGGGATAAGGAAGTGTTTATAGGTTCTGAAACCTAGCTAAATCGATTTTTCGTGCAATTTTAGGTCAGAAATAGTCATCAAAATGAGTTAATAAGAAGGTCGATTTCTCGGTTATTTTTGAGCTTTCGTTCAGAAAATAATTCGGGGCCTTCAAAGGGGGGTAACAAGAAAGCGTTACAAGTGTTACAAGCCTTCTATAATACAAAATGTGTATCACCTCTTCAACCCGCCGAACATGTGCTTACCCTAAAAATGTAAACAAATGTGTTTCACCTCCTCAACCCGCCGAACATGTGCTCACTATTAAAGTAAACAAATGTGTTTCACCTCCTCACCAGTATCCACATCTATTAAACAATAATTTAAACTTTGTATTGCAGCTGGTAATGCCCGGTAGTCGTCCTGAAATGGATCTGTTTGAGAAAGGAGTGAAAGAGAACAGTAGATTGAGTCTAGAGTTTTGCATTCCAGAGCTGCTCATCTATCTCCAGGATAAACAGTTCTTCGAGGTCCTCTACAACAGGTTTGTGGGTAATGCTAAAATGTAAACACCAGGTGTCTTGAGGTCCTCTATAACAGGTTTGTGGGTAATGCTAAAATGTAAACACCAGGTGTCTTGAGGTCCTCTATAACAGGTTTGTGGGTAATGCTAAAATGTAAACACCAGGTGTCTTGAGGTCCTCTATAACAGGTTTGTGGGTAATGCTAAAATGTAAACACCAGGTGTCTTGAGGTCCTCTATAACAGGTTTGTGGGTAATGCTAAAATGTAAACACCAGGTGTCTTGAGGTCCTCTATAACAGGTTTGTGGGTAATGCTAAAATGTAAACACCAGGTGTCTTGAGGTCCTCTATAACAGGTTTGTGGGTAATGCTAAAATGTAAACACCAGGTGTCTTGAGGTCCTCTATAACAGGTTTGTGGGTAATGCTAAAATGTAAACACCAGGTGTCTTGAGGTCCTCTATAACAGGTTTGTGGGTAATGCTAAAATGTAAACACCAGGTGTCTTGAGGTCCTCTATAACAGGTTTGTGGGTAATGCTAAAATGTAAACACCAGGTGTCTTGAGGTCCTCTATAACAGGTTTGTGGGTAATGCTAAAATGTAAACACCAGGTGTCTTGAGGTCCTCTATAACAGGTTTGTGGGTAATGCTAAAATGTAAACACCAGGTGTCTTGAGGTCCTCTATAACAGGTTTGTGGGTAATGCTAAAATGTAAACACCAGGTGTCTTGAGGTCCTCTATAACAGGTTTGTGGGTAATGCTAAAATGTAAACACCAGGTGTCTTGAGGTCCTCTATAACAGGTTTGTGGGTAATGCTAAAATGTAAACACCAGGTGTCTTGAGGTCCTCTATAACAGGTTTGTGGGTAATGCTAAAATGTAAACACCAGGTGTCTTGAGGTCCTCTATAACAGGTTTGTGGGTAATGCTAAAATGTAAACACCAGGTGTCTTGAGGTCCTCTATAACAGGTTTGTGGGTAATGCTAAAATGTAAACACCAGGTGTCTTGAGGTCCTCTATAACAGGTTTGTGGGTAATGCTAAAATGTAAACACCAGGTGTCTTGAGGTCCTCTATAACAGGTTTGTGGGTAATGCTAAAATGTAAACACCAGGTGTCTTGAGGTCCTCTATAACAGGTTTGTGGGTAATGCTAAAATGTAAACACCAGGTGTCTTGAGGTCCTCTATAACAGGTTTGTGGGTAATGCTAAAATGTAAACACCAGGTGTCTTGAGGTCCTCTATAACAGGTTTGTGGGTAATGCTAAAATGTAAACACCAGGTGTCTTGAGGTCCTCTATAACAGGTTTGTGGGTAATGCTAAAATGTAAACACCAGGTGTCTTGAGGTCCTCTATAACAGGTTTGTGGGTAATGCTAAAATGTAAACACCAGGTGTCTTGAGGTCCTCTATAACAGGTTTGTGGGTAATGCTAAAATGTAAACACCAGGTGTCTTGAGGTCCTCTATAACAGGTTTGTGGGTAATGCTAAAATGTAAACACCAGGTGTCTTGAGGTCCTCTACAACAGGTTTGTGGGTAATGCTAAAATGTAAACACCAGGTGTCTTGAGGTCCTCTACAACAGGTTTGTGGGTAATGCTAAAATGTAAACACCAGGTGTCTTGAGGTCCTCTACAACAGGTTTGTGGGTAATGCTAAAATGTAAACACCAGGTGTCTTGAGGTCCTCTACAACAGGTTTGTGGGTAATGCTAAAATATAAACACCAGGTGTCTTGAGGTCCTCTATAACAGGTTTGTGGGTAATGCTAAAATATAAACACCAGGTGTCTTGAGGTCCTCTATAACAGGTTTGTGGGTAATGCTAAAATGTAAACACCAGGTGTCTTGAGGTCCTCTATAACAGGTTTGTGGGTAATGCTAAAATGTAAACACCAGGTGTCTTGAGGTCCTCTATAACAGGTTTGTGGGTAATGCTAAAATGTAAACACCAGGTGTCTTGAGGTCCTCTATAACAGGTTTGTGGGTAATGCTAAAATGTAAACACCAGATGTCTTGAGGTCCTCTATAACAGGTTTGTGGGTAATGCTAAAATGTAAACACCAGGTGTCTTGAGGTCCTCTATAACAGGTTTGTGGGTAATGCTAAAATGTAAACACCAGGTGTCTTGAGGTCCTCTATAACAGGTTTGTGGGTAATGCTAAAATGTAAACACCAGGTGTCTTGAGGTCCCCTATAACAGGTTTGTGGGTAATGCTAAAATGTAAACACCAGGTGTCTTGAGGTCCTCTAAAACAGGTTTGTGGGTAATGCTAAAATGTAAACACCAGGTGTCTTGAGGTCCTCTATAACAGGTTTGTGGGTAATGCTAAAATGTAAACACCAGGTGTCTTGAGGTCCTCTATAACAGGTTTGTGGGTAATGCTAAAATGTAAACACCAGGTGTCTTGAGGTCCTCTATAACAGGTTTGTGGGTAATGCTAAAATGTAAACACCAGGTGTCTTGAGGTCCTCTATAACAGGTTTGTGGGTAATGCTAAAATGTAAACACCAGGTGTCTTGACGTCCTCTAAAACAGGTTTGTGGGTAATGCTAAAATGTAAACACCAGGTGTCTTGAGGTCCTCTATAACAGGTTTGTGGGTAATGCTAAAATGTAAACACCAGGTGTCTTGAGGTCCTCTATAACAGGTTTGTGGGTAATGCTAAAATGTAAACACCAGGTGTCTTGAGGTCCTCTATAACAGGTTTGTGGGTAATGCTAAAATGTAAACACCAGGTGTCTTGAGGTCCTCTACAACAGGTTTGTGGGTAATGCTAAAATGTAAACACCAGGTGTCTTGAGGTCCTCTATAACAGGTTTGTGGGTAATGCTAAAATGTAAACACCAGGTGTCTTGAGGTCCTCTATAACAGGTTTGTGGGTAATGCTAAAATGTAAACACCAGGTGTCTTGAGGTCCTCTACAACAGGTTTGTGGGTAATGCTAAAATGTAAACACCAGGTGTCTTGAGGTCCTCTAAAACAGGTTTGTGGGTAATGCTAAAATGTAAACACCAGGTGTCTTGAGGTCCTCTATAACAGGTTTGTGGGTAATGCTAAAATGTAAACACCATGTGTCTTGAGGTCCTCTATAACAGGTTTGTGGGTAATGCTAAAATATAAACACCAGGTGTCTTGAGGTCCTCTATAACAGGTTTGTGGGTAATGCTAAAATGTAAACACCATGTGTCTTGAGGTCCTCTATAACAGGTTTGTGGGTAATGCTAAAATATAAACACCAGGTGTCTTGAGGTCCTCTATAACAGGTTTGTGGGTAATGCTAAAATGTAAACACCAGGTGTCTTGAGGTCCTCTACAACAGGTTTGTGGGTAATGCTAAAATGTAAACACCAGGTGTCTTGAGGTCCTCTACAACAGGTTTGTGGGTAATGCTAAAATGTAAACACCATGTGTCTTGAGGTCCTCTATAACAGGTTTGTGGGTAATGCTAAAATATAAACACCAGGTGTCTTGAGGTCCTCTATAACAGGTTTGTGGGTAATGCTAAAATATAAACACCATGTGTCTTGAGGTCCTCTATAACAGGTTTGTGGGTAATGCTAAAATATAAACACCAGGTGTCTTGAGGTCCTCTATAACAGGTTTGTGGGTAATGCTAAAATGTAAACACCAGGTGTCTTGAGGTCCTCTACAACAGGTTTGTGGGTAATGCTAAAATGTAAACACCAGGTGTCTTGAGGTCCTCTATAACAGGTTTGTGGGTAATGCTAAAATGTAAACACCAGGTGTCTTGAGGTCCTCTACAACAGGTTTGTGGGTAATGCTAAAATGTAAACATCAGGTGTCTTGAGGTCCTCTACAACAGGTTTGTGGGTAATGCTAAAATGTAAACACCAGGTGTCTTGAGGTCCTCTACAACAGGTTTGTGGGTAATGCTAAAATGTAAACACCATGTGTCTTGAGGTCCTCTACAACAGGTTTGTGGGTAATGCTAAAATATAAACACCAGGTGTCTTGAGGTCCTCTATAACAGGTTTGTGGGTAATGCTAAAATATAAACACCAGGTGTCTTGAGGTCCTCTATAACAGGTTTGTGGGTAATGCTAAAATATAAACACCAGGTGTCTTGAGGTCCTCTATAACAGGTTTGTGGGTAATGCTAAAATGTAAACACCAGGTGTCTTGAGGTCCTCTACAACAGGTTTGTGGGTAATGCTAAAATGTAAACACCAGGTGTCTTGAGGTCCTCTATAACAGGTTTGTGGGTAATGCTAAAATGTAAACACCAGGTGTCTTGAGGTCCTCTACAACAGGTTTGTGGGTAATGCTAAAATGTAAACATCAGGTGTCTTGAGGTCCTCTACAACAGGTTTGTGGGTAATGCTAAAATGTAAACATCAGGTGTCTTGAGGTCCTCTATAACAGGTTTGTGGGTAATGCTAAAATGTAAACACCAGGTGTCTTGAGGTCCTCTATAACAGGTTTGTGGGTAATGCTAAAATATAAACACCAGGTGTCTTGAGGTCCTCTATAACAGGTTTGTGGGTAATGCTAAAATGTAAACACCAGGTGTCTTGAGGTCCTCTATAACAGGTTTGTGGGTAATGCTAAAATGTAAACACCAGGTGTCTTGAGGTCCTCTATAACAGGTTTGTGGGTAATGCTAAAATGTAAACACCAGGTGTCTTGAGGTCCTCTATAACAGGTTTGTGGGTAATGCTAAAATGTAAACACCAGGTGTCTTGGTGAGCTAATCGTATGCTAAATTACCGCTAATTAACTGCTTATTTCATGCTAATTACTTCCCCAGGATATTCACTGACCTATGTTTGTGGACTCCTGGCTGTCCTGTAGTTCAAGAAACAAACGTGAAGTTGGAACCGGAGATCTTCAAAATGTGCACCAGTACTGCTCACAGAGGTAGAACTATAAGGTTAGGGACTACGGGTGGAGGTTGATGAATAATTAAAATTTCAACAGCATCTTGTTCCCTTCATTGTGCTGATTCCGGGAAGCATTCTCTTTACTATACGCTCTCATCATACTGTAGGATGAGATATCGTTCATTTAAAATTCGGTAATTAAAATCCTGTCAAGGATTGTAGCCCAATTAAGAGCTGATCAATCGCAGCTACTTGTGCCATATAAGGGATAACTATCACGTGACCGCTGATCCTATCACGTGACCTTGATTCGTTAATCCACGGACACTCGATCACATTCGTAACGTGTCGTATGCCGACTAATATAGTCGGCATACTACTACGTAACCAGAGTTCAAGCTACTTGATCAGGCCTTACATGGAATAGTATAGTGTATCGCGTATAATTGGATCCAATTATAGGAGCCGTGCAATTTTATTGCAGCATCTTGATCTGGTAATATCACCTTCTGAAACCTAGCAAACAGCTCAGTTACTCACTAGTGTCCATGAGGGACGGTAGTGACCCCATCTTCCAGGATCCAGCGTTTGTCATCATGTAGAGCTACTCGGTTTGAATTAAAAGGGGACTGTATTTTGTTTGATATTTAAGTGAGTACAAAGGAGACAAGTTATATGAAATCCTGGTAGGATAAGGTAATGTGACTTAATATAATAGTATTTTAGGGTATAATATGTAAAGAATAACTAAGTCTTAAATAAATGGCAACCCGTTCTAGGTTAAATTACTCAACGGTTAAAAAGCCGTGAGATCAAGGTTGTAAAGGTAAAAGTTGATAACTTGTAAAAACTGCCCTCGTATCCCATATATATATAGCCCTCGATTGGGTAATTAATTATCGATAGAGTGATAAGGAGGTATACTGGAGCTGGGTAAATTGCCCCTAATAGGGTTACTCCATGTTAATATATATATACCTATTTCCTGGTTTAATTAACTTCTCCCTCAATCTAATTAATATGATAAAACTTAATGAGATAAAACTTAACGTGATACAAGTTTAGAGGGGGGAGTCTCTGTCTTAGATTGTCCAACTCTCCCCCTCAAACGTTAGATTAAATAAAACCCTCCCTAAAAGTTAATGTAAAATAATTTAAACTGTTCTGCTAGGTAAATTAAATCTCAGTGAAACCGGTCGTCGTTGACGATGAGTAGCCTTTGAATTAATGTTATCAGCAGCTCGTGTGTGGGCCTGGTCAAGTACTCAGGCTGGTCTAGGTTAAATACCAGGAATTTTAATGTAGTCCTGATTGGGTTGATGAAAAATCTCCAATTCCTCCTCTGCGTCATTGAGATCTGCGATGTATCCGGTGAGCCATGGATCGAGTCGATTGCGTTAAATCCCTGCCCCAGCAGGGTTGCGAATCTTGTACCCAGCTGCAGGTACTCTCTCCTTCCAGCCATCTTACCGCTTGTGTCACGATGTACTCCAGATTAAGGGTGAAGTTTTGAGGTAACTTAACCGGTCCAGGGATCTTATCATTTGTAAATGATAACATGTTCCCTCTATAAGCCGATCTGTCAGTCTGTACCTCGACAGACGCTGCGGTCTGGATCATCGAGTCTGCTGTTTTCGGTGCAGGTCTTAGGGACGCCTGGGTCTGGGTTGCTGAAGCTACTCCAGGTCTTGCAGGCCCAGTTTGGGTCGGGGTGTATTTCTTCCTCGTCCCCTTCCTCTCACGGTTCTTGCGGTTCAGGTGAAAGTAACTCTCAGCGGCTGGGGTGTTGGAGATTCTTTTCCCTCTGTCAGGTTAGGTGTTGTGATTCCCAGGAATTCTAAGGGGTTGGTGTCTGAGCAGACGAAACCGCTTGTTTGGTTGGTTGGAGCTAACCCTACTAGTGGGTCAGGAGACTCTGTTCTAAGTTTCTTACTAGTAGGTGGTTGAGTGAGAAAATCCAGGTCCTCCTCCGAAAGCTGTATTGTTATGGCGTCTTCGATACTAGGGTGGTAAAAATCACCAAGGAGGGTTGATTTTGAAACAGAGGTAGACATCTTTAGGTAACTGAGGTGTAACGTGGTTAGTTATTGGGTTGCACTTGCACTGATCCACTGTGTAAACAGTGTGGTTCTTTGATTTGATGGATATAGTGATCTTCTGGCGATGTCTCCGTCTCATTGATCACCACAGGACCCTGCAAGATTTTCCTATAAAGTTCATGGTGCAGCTCCTTATCTTTCATGGTGCAGCTCCTTTAAATCTTTTATGGTGCAGCTCCTTATCTTTCATGGTGCAGCTCCTTATCTTTCACACACTTCTTAATCCCGGCTGCAGTGCTCTTCTGTTTACCGTTCTCTTTGTCATCAATGCAGGATCCAGCGTTTGTCGTCATACCGCGTCAAACCAACTTTACACTGATCCACTGTGTAGACAGTGTGGTTCTTGGAACGGAATGTCATCTGATGGATATAGTGATCTTCTGGCGATGTTTCCGTCTCATTGATCACCACTGCAACTGGACCCTGTAAGATTTTCCTGTAGAGTTCGTGATGTAACTCCTTGTCTTTTACGCACTTCTTAACCCCGGCCGCAGTACTCTTTTGCTTGCCGTTCTCCTTGTCATCAATGAGTATTGAATACATCTTGGAACGTAATCCTGAAAAAATGTATAGTAATTATTTATTAAAAGATGATTTAGCAGTGTAATTCAATATATGAACAGTATCAGATTGAGTTATAATTTAAAGTAAACAAATTAAAACCATGACCAGAATTAAAATAAAATGAAAAACTAACCTATAAACTCTATGATGATCCACCCCTCAGCCTCATCCTTGAACTTGCCAGAAACTGCTTTATTCTCATTTGAGAACAGCGGGTGATCTTCCGCTAGGTTTGAAAAGTCAAAATAACTCTTCAACCTGACCAGAAATAATAATAACTAAATATAAATAAAACAATTAAATGATACAAGTCGGTGTGACTAGCTTCATAAGGAATTGCTTCCATCCCTTGATCGTCCTTGCTTCACCCTCATCCACTTCCATGAACTGTTGGTACATGGGGTCTTTCTCAAAGACCAAACTTGTGTGGTAAGTTTCCTTTTCGAACAGAAACTCCAGATGACAACCCATACTGTAGCTGTATTTTCTATTCACTACCTTCTGGATCACCACCTGTTGGTTGAAGAATGTTGGCATATCATTGCCCTCAATTCTGTCGCATTCCTCGCATGTGAATTGCTGAAAGTGAAATATTTTTAGATTAATTGTATTTTATGTCTAATCATTACTTTATATCAATATTATAGCGATATATTAAATCTAAGCATTAAAAGTCTGGAGGATCTGAACAAGACACGGGAATACAATATATAATAGCAGATTATTAAAATATGGTTACCTGGGCATCCTGTGCAAAAATAGTGCTGTGACACCGACCACATGTTTCAAGCTCATGAACGATGTCTGCTTTCGGCATGAAGAAGGATAGAGTAGAGGCGCTTTGGTTCCCGGCTGTGAATATACGGAGATGGTTGAGTCTTGAGAGGATGTAGCTAACCATCTCGTATGGCAGGTAACTGCCATCCTGCAGGATCAGACCGCTGTTGTTTTGCTGCCATCTGATCGTGTTCCAATTTCTGGGCCCAATGATAAGATCAATTGTGCAGTTAAAATGAAAATGCTGATAGCAGCTTGAGTCGAATAGAACAGTCATCTCCTTGATTATATAGCGGCGGGAGACTTGGAAGACTTCGATAGCAATATAGCAAGACATTGTAACTATTGTGGATATTGTAAAGAAGAAATGATAAGTTTTAATATTGTTGGCGGTAATTTACTAAGCACGGCGAGTCTTCTAGCACCGTTGGATACTTAGAATCCCACTCCTGACATATGTCCACGATGTCTGCTTTCGGCATGAAGAAGGATAGAGTAGAGGCGCTTTGGTTCCCGGCTGTGAATATACGGAGATGGTTGAGTCTTGAGAGGATGTAGCTAACCATCTCGTATGGCAGGTAACTGTTATCCTGCAGGATCAGACCGCTGTTGTTTTGCTGCCATCTGATCGTGTTCCAATCTCTGGGCCCAATGATAAGATCAATTGTGCAGTTAAAATGAAAATGCTGATAGCAGCTTGAGTCGAATAGAACAGTCATTTCCTTGATTATATAACGGCGTGAGACACTAGGAACTTTAGTGTAGTCCTAATTGGGTTAATGAAGAATCGCCAATTCCTCCTCTGGGTCATTGAGATTTGGGAACTATCCGGTGAACCATGTATCGAGTCGATGGCGTTGAATCCTTGCCCCAGCAAGGTCGCGAATCTTGTGCCCAGCTGCAGGTACTCTCTCCTTCCAGCCATCTTTACCGCTTGTGTCACGCTGAGCTCCAGATTAAGGGTGAAGTTTTGAGGGAACTTAACCGGTCCAGGGATCTTATCATTTGTAAATGATAACATGTTCCCTCTATAAGCCGATCTGTCAGTTTGTACCTCGACAGACGCTGCGGTCTGGATCATCGAGTCTGCTGTTTTCGGTGCAGGTCTTAGGGACGCCTGGGTCTGGGTTGCTGAAGCTACTCCAGGTCTTGCAGGCCCAGTGTGGGTCGGGGTGCCTTCCTTCCTCGTCCCCTTCCTCTCACGGTTCTTGCGGTTGAGGTGAAAATAACTCTCAGCGGCTGGGGTGTTGGAGATTCTTTTCCCTCTGTCAGGTTAGGTGTTGTGATTCCCAGGAATTCTAAGGGGTTGGTTTCTGAGCAGACGAAACCGCTTGTTTGGTTGGTTGGAGCTAACCCTACTAGTGGGTCAGGAGACTCTGTTCTAAGTTTCTTACTAGTAGGTGGTTGAGTGAGAAAATCCAGGTCCTCCTCCGAAAGCTGTATTGTTATGGCGTCTTCGATACTAGGGTGGTAAAAATCACCAAGGAGGGTTGATTTTGAAACAGAGGTAGACATCTTTAGGTAACTGAGGTGTAACGTGGTTAGTTATTGGGTTGCACTTGCACTGATCCACTGTGTAAACAGTGTGGTTCTTTGA